CTCTATCTCTCTCTCTCTCTATCTGCTCCGCGCAATTAATCAATTAAAAAAATTAACAACGCCCGTCGATCAATTTTTTTAATCAATCATTCCAATTAATTGAAGAGATCGGCAAGTTCCGTCAGAGGTGAGCGCTGGTGTGCTTCTTCCTTCCTTCTCTCTCCGTCTCGCTCCCTCCGACGTACGTATTTTTCGCGCTTTTACAAACTTTCGTATGTACAAGGCTAGGCATAATAACGCTATCCAGTCCTAGTAGATGATGATTCCAACATGTACGAAGAACACTTCTGCCGGCGTCGTCGCGGCCAGATCACAAGTAAACGGGCTATCTGATGGATAGTAATTGGTGATGGTAATAATAGTAGTAATAGTAGTAGTAATAGTTGTAGTGATAATAGTAATGCGGTAGTAGTAGTATAGAGTAATGGTAATAGTAATATTAATATACATAGAACACCATTATAAAAATGCTTATGGCTAAATCTGTGCGTTGAATCTCTTAAAATTACGTCCAGCCACCTGGTGCGACGGAGAATCGCCGTGAACGCGGCGTCGCCGTCGCACTTGCCACATACAGGGATGCGTCGCGTTATTAAGTCCTAGTAGCTGCGATGAATGATCACAAACCGTCGCGGCGGTCCGCTCGCGTTCCTGCGCGAGGAGCGGAATTCCTCGCGAGTGACGCGAGCGGAAGCGGCGAATTCCGGAACCGGGCCGGAGAATGCAACATGCGAAAATATCGGCTCACGTTCTCAGCACGCACAGCTACGCAGCTTTGCGTAGCGTCCGCCTGCCGCGAGTGGAATCTTTCCCGAAATCGACTCTGTCACGCCCAAAATTACTCGCACAACACTCGCGGAGGACCTCCTGCGGGGGAGGAGCCTCGTCACGACGAGATGTGAGCTTCTCTCCTCGACAATGGGAAAAGTGGACGACTCCAGTTCCTGCGCATCTTACCTCCTCTTAAACGCTAAACTCCCGCTTCCACACGACCGTACCTCACTAATAACAATAAAAATAGATCTCTACGCATAACCGACTCGATAGATATGTTTTCTTCGAAGCTGCTTGCTCGCTAGAAATCAAGGTCGCTACGTGATATCCGTCGTACGCGAGGAGCCTCTTCCGGGCGTTCTCGCTTGGAGAAAAAGTAATTTCGCGCACCGCTCGCAGATTTTCTATGTATGTACGCGTATGTGTGTGTGTGTGTGTGTGTGTGTGTGTGTGTGTGTGTGTGCGGATGAATTTAGATCTCTCCGGTGATATTGTCTCTCTCTCTTCTCTTTAGTCGCCAACATCGCGGCATGCCCCTCGGACAGTTTGTGACCTCGACTATGAGGGTGAACCCGAATATACGACAGAACCCCTCGCGCGCGTGAGCCTAGCGAAATGACGAAGCGGCGCGAATTACTTACGAATTAGTCTTCTAACGTTTTGATTGTTGTTGCGTCTATACGTTAGGCGGTTGATTACCTCCTCGCGCGAACCCTGATGCCTCGAGAACCTCGCGGTGGCCTTTCGCCCCGAACCAGCAGGACCTTCCTCGCTCTTCGCAAGCTCTTCACGTCGGGGAACTGGGCGACGGTTCGAAAAGAAAGAGGAGAAAGGAAATGTCTCTCCGTCGCCGATCTTCCTTACGAGAACGCATCGACTACGACGTAGGCCTCGTTCACGCCGATCGTTCAATCAGCGTGCCAAGAGCAGCGATTTTCGGCTGAATTATCTTTCGTCTCGTTGACACGTGCATCAACGATAAGTGCACCGACTTGGCCGGACCGTCGTCCATTAAAACTTTCACATCAACTTAATCGATCATCGATCCGATAGCGACTTATCAGTCGCGCCAATTAATTCGTTATCTTCAGTTTCCGAGTCTGGCAGTCGCTTGAAAAGTGGCGTGTTATATCGCCGAAAATAATGGAGAGGCTACTTTCATCATTGAGAGAGAAGAGGCGAATTTTTCTTCGCGGGCGAATCTTCTCCCGTGCAAGTAGCCGCCGAATTAATGACTTTATCGTTCACACGCAGGGCCGAAATTCAGGTTCACAGACGGAAAGTCGCCGATTCGTGCCCGCGGGTCGAACGATCGGTGTGGTAGTCACCCCTCAATACGCTCAAGCCGGTCTCTCGCAAAAGGTGGTGGATCAGCGACTTGTTCCGCGTTCTTGCCGCCCCCGATCGCGAAAATCTCTCCACGGAGGCCTTCACATTTGCAGCGGGTATAAAATTAGACTCGAACTTGGAGTTTCGCGAGAGGGTGAGAAGGCGGGTAAGTGGGAATCGAAGGGGCCAGGGGAGGCGCAGAAGGAGCTAATCGTGCTGGAACGCTCGAATCTCCTTGGCGCTGCAAGGAAGGATTTGCACAAGCGGCTCGTCGTCAGGTAACACACACTCCCGCGCTGCTGATTTCCCACTTTTCGCCACGCCGTTCTATATAAGCGTGTTGTATTGATCTCTTGCGGTGTGTTTCCATCGCGCGTGAGGTTTGTTACTCGTCCGATCTCCCTTTCTCTCTCTCTCTCTCTCTCTCTCTCTCTCTCTCTCTCTCTCTCTCTCTCTCTCTCTCTCTCTCTCTCTCTCTCCCCCTCTCTCTCTCTCTCTCTCTCTCTCTCTCTCTCTTTAGGCGTACGTGCATGTACGTCGTATATGATTTCCGCCCCTTGCCCTCCCCAGGATTCTCAGGCATTGTACGAATAGTGGCACAAAAGGTTGCGACTCTGTTTGTCCCTTTTTCGCGATGAGCTTCGCGGAAAATGCGGCCGTACCCGACTGGAGAGAATCTGTCGTTTCCGTGGAACTTTCCAGTGAACCAATTTTCCTACTAGAAGAGTCCGAAGCGGGGACCGACGAGGGTTCGTTCGCGCCCGATCGTGATGACTTTGTTCCCTGTGTAATTTTCCTAACTGATGAAATACTCGCGGTGATCCTGAATTTCCTCTTACTTTTGATTTCGAAGCTTAGGATCTATATTTATACTTTGATAACGTCCCTAGGTTCGAGAACGCCGTTCCATTTCCATGTTGGATTCGAGGTGCGTCTCGAGCTGAAGAGCGTTGTGATCTCCTTGCCACCGATTACGCCCGCTTTAGAATTCAACAGAGTTGAACCTTGGAACGAAGCGACGTAGCGCGAGATTCACGACACGGAGCTTCCGCCTTTTTTCTCCTCTCCCCTTCGTTCGCTCGTAACTGCTTGTTATCACCGTTGGCACCCTCGCCTTGCACGGGGGAATTTCACAAATTTCCAGGGAGATTCTCCGCGGGAGCGCGTCGCAACTTTCTGAACGCGCGCGAATTACGTCTCCGCCTAAGTAACTCGAAATCGAGAGTTCAATTCGCTCGATAAAGCTCCCGCGCGGACTCGGACTCGCGCTCGTCCGCAATTTGAACACAATTTAGTCTTTGAGAAAGCTACGTCATTAGATCCTCATGACAGACAACGATGTTCCCGTGGATGTCGCGGCGAGAGGAAAATCTCAACGAGACCTACCTTTTGCTTGCGAGACTGCAGCGGAAAGCGCATCGCGCGGAAAATGAGAGACAGACGAGAGAGAGAGGATCTCTCTCATCTCCTATTCTTGAAACACGTTCAAACTGAAATGCAACGCGCATAAACGATCGTTTGTGTACAAAATGTGCGGTTTGTGTGTGTGAGTGTGTGTGTTGTGCGTGCGTACATGAGTCGGACACCACAAAACACGTTTCTCAAAGACGCCTCTGATCCCTAATTTACACATACGTATTTATAGAACCGTTTCGCACACGCTTGTGATTCTCATTTCGACAAGAGAGAAAGAGAGAGAGAGAGAGAGGGAGAGAGAGAGAGAGAGAAGGAGAAAGAAAAAACAATAAAGACACCGGGCCGATTGAGAGAGTCCAATTGGCATGGCTAGACAACGACGAGTGCATCATCATTCGACACGTGCCTCCGTGGTTTTAGATTAATTTCGAAAACAAATCTTACCAGAAGGATCAAGAATCCTTTCTGGGTCTCATAACCGGCAAGAGACAAGGACACGTGGCGTGCACAAAGAATATTGCACTTTGCGGATCTGCTCTTTTTAAACACGTGTCGCGTTGATTGTCAATGGGCTTCCGCAGCTGTAAATTCGGGTCAGATTGGGATCACCTAAGAGTTTGAAGAGAAAAAGAAGAAGAGAAAGAGAAGAACCTGTACGTTTTTAAACTTGCGTCTCCTGTCACATTATTCGTTGAGATGTTCCCTCGAGAATGCGTAAATATCACAACTTCTCCTTCTCTCTCTTTTTCTCTGTCTCCTTTTCCCCCCTCTCTCTCTCTCTCTCTCTCTCTCTCTCTCTCTCTCTCTCTCTGTCTCGGAACACAAATAGATTTATTCGCGTTATGTTACTCGTCACTCGCTCTACGAGAACACGACTCGTTGCGAAACTGCTTCGTCGTTGCCGGCTTCATCGCGCGCGTTTTTCCGCGAAGCAAACAAACACCGTTTTTCCATTTTCCCGGCTGCGTTTCGCCGCTGCCGCCACCGCCGTCGCTGCGAAATCGAAACCGTCTGAAAGACTTTGCAAGATCGTATCGCGCGTCTCCCCGCGGTTGCGAAAGTTCCGAATTGAAAAAGTGTCCCGCCTCGCGCCGCGAAGCCGGCAATCGAGGTTAAAACGCGGTCGGCGCGAATGCCGCTAAATCGAAGGTCGTTTAGGTCCCCTTTTGTTCATAATGTTTCATAATGCACGAGGAGAAGAAATCATGGAGCGTTTGAGTCGAGAATGCAGCCGAGTCGCGCAGAAGCGGCGTGTGAGAATTGGGGCATGATGAAGATCTACGTCGGCATTAATCGGCTACTTTCTTGCGTCGACGAATTGTGCCTACCTTTGATCGGGATGAAGCAAGGTGCGCTGGATGATGACGACATGCGCCCTCTCTCTTTCTCTCCCTCCCTCTCTCTCTCTGCCTCCCTCTCTCTCTCCCTCTCTCTCTCCCTCTCTCTCTCCCTCTCTCTCTCTCCCTCTCTCTCTCTCTCTCTCTCTCTCTCTCTCTCTCTCTCTCTCTCTCTCTCTTTCTTCCTCTCTTCCGACTAACAATCACGCCCGGCTCTCGTCTCCGTCGCGTCTCCGGTTGCGGTGCGTCGTTTTACAAAGTGCGTCGAATGCCATTGCCATTCGCGAAAATGACGAGTGCACATCGATTAAACCAAACTATGCTCGCGCGAATCGTAGCGATGCGTGTACAGAATGGAGGAACTTGGTCCTGGCGATGTGTTGGGCAATGGTGATGGCGTACTCGAGCATGGCGGCGACGAAGGCAGCACCTTCTTCGAGGCAGACGATACCTAGGTATTGTGACCCTGCTTGTGAGGCTGCTTGTTTTCCAAGTTGGACGTCGGTCGGCCCACCAGGTCCTCGAGCTCGTCCGGCGTCAGGACCGTAAAGTCCCTGTGCGACACGGAATAAGGAGTTACGGTGGATGCGATCGAACGATCCGCAAGTTGGGACCAGTCCCGCTTCCGCCCTGAGGAATTTGGGAACTTGCGAGATCGAGATTTCTCCCGCAAACTACACAGGAAGAATTCCCGCCGAACTCGATGAACCGCGCTTCGCGCGATTCCGGGATCTCTCCGCAATGTTTGGGAAAATTCGCGAGGGAATGCGACAGATTTTACAGCGGACTGCGAGAAGGGACTGTCTGTACGGGCTAATCGTTGGAACATACAAATCCTGACCTTAGCGGCAGATGTATCGTTCAATCGCGCTTGCGGGGCGCAAGCACGGTGATTCTCACCGCCGATACCATGTATTATTCAGCGAGAATTCTCTCTCCGCGTAGCCGCGAGACTACAGCGATTACACAACACGAGATCCACGGCCGAGCTAAGCACAGCGGGGAGAAACCGGTAGAGATCTTGAAATATTTACGAACTCTAACACTTCTCTACAAGCTGAACAGCGAGGAGAGACATTGGCCCTTTTTCTCCGGAGACCGGACGCCGATACAACAACCCTCCCTCTCCCTCTTCGCCGCCCTCCCTTTCTCGCGAACTCTAGATCGACCCCGGCTCGATTGATCGGTCGCTTTACCTGTGCTGTGCCAAAAGCATGTCTATGCTGGTGACGCTGCGCTGATGAGTGCCATCCTTCTGCGAGGCGCTCTGTCTTCTGATGCAGACGGCCCTCATAGGCGCGAGGAACACACCGATCACCAGGAGGCCGCTGCCAGTGGCGATCAAGGCCGCGGAATTTTGAGCGGCCTCGGCACCCGGCGCGAGCTGCACCAGGCCGACCACCAGCACCACCGCACCCAGCAGCAGCGAGCCGACGACGACATACAGCGAGTTGACCTGCGGTTCAAGTGGGTTTTCGCCGCTTGAGATTCCGCGGCCGGTGTTTAAGCGCGAGCGAAGCTCGCTAGCCTCGACGGGCTTTACCTTGCCGCAAAAGTAGTACTCTGGTGGTTCTTTGTCGATCATGGCCAGCACCGCTTCGCTCTCCGCCAGTGGGCTGCCAGGCTGGCTGTTACCCGCTCTCGAGTTCTTCTCCTGGTAGTACGTTTTGTGGAAGACCTTCACCGTGGGCACCGGCAACGCCGTAATCATCCTGCCCTGAAGGAGACCGAACAGACGAGCTTTAGTCTTCGCTCCCGCTTAGCTTCGGCGCTCCTTCAATTTTGCGCCTCCCTTTCGTAAAGGATGATGCAATCGAATGCGAGGGGTCGCGGGGGACAATTAGGGAGATAGCATCGGAGCTGTCGTGAGAAATTAACGCACGCGACACAATTCCGCAATTATGAGCGGCGCGCTTCTGCGTCGCGGCGACAATATTAATTCGCGTCGCAATTCTCCGACCGATGTCTATCGCGCCCGCCCTGGCTCGTCCGAGCGGATTTCGGCCGTTGAATTTCACGCGTGCCGCGAGAGATTCGACGAGTAGGAGATACCCCTCGTGTCCTTCGCGGGCCGGCCATCGAATTAGCGCACGGACCTGGCCGCGTCGTGTGTGTGTGTGTTGCAGTGCGATGCCGGATGTGCAACGGCGAAGGCGATTACTCGGCAAACGGCGGCGGTGTCGGTGGCCTAGATATGTTCTCGGGGGCGATGGCCTTTGTACCTCGATTATCGAACAACCGAAGTGCTAGCGCAGGGTGCAGGTATACACATGTACACACACACACATACACACACACCGACTAAAAAACCGACCGTTGTCGTCGGTCGCATGAGTGTACAAACGGACGGTAGACCGCCGTCAACCCCTTTCCCCGTTCGCCACCCCCTTGCATAATCCGAAATTCGTTGCACTCCCCGCCGCGTCGATACGCGTTAACGATAAATGTGATCTCGCGTGACCGCGCGTTTTGCGTTTGCAGCGCCGGGGCTATGCGGGGGGGGGGGTCGGGGGGAAGGCGGGAGGAGAAGAATAAGAGCGAAGCAGAAAAACACGCCACCCTCCGGCGCTCGTATAATTCAACGCGGCCAGCAGCACGTGAGACGCGATTTTAATATGATTAATATATCCTCCTTCACCTCCTCCTTCTCTTTCTCCTCCTTGCACCCTTGCGTCGACTTCTCCGGCCCCGAGCCCCTCCCCGCGCAGCCGGTGAGATATCTTGGTGCGGAGTTAATAGCCGCGAACGCGGCTACCGGTGCCGCGACGAGCGCGGAGATTTCGATTTGCAATGCCGAATCGCACCGGTGAAATATGTGCATAATAAACGGATAACCTTTATCGCTTTAGAAAGGCGTAAAGTGGAACAGTGGCCTGATTCCTCGATGTCATGGTTGCGGCTCCACGTGCATCGGAGAGAGACACACACACACACACACACACACAGAGAGAGAAAGATAGAGAGAGAGAGAGAGGGGGGGGAGAGAGAGAGAGGGAGAGAGAGTACATGAATGTGCAACTAGTATCATACTACTATCTCGTAGCCTGGATTCCTGCCAAAATCCTGAGCGGATACGCAGGGTATACGAGAAGGAGGAGCGGAAGAAGGAGAGACGAGAGCGAAGATGTCAACCCTGTCGTTATCCCGGCAGTTATTCCCGTTCCGAGCCCTTTCTCCCGGGATCCTTCCGCGATTCCGCAGCGCGGCTGATTTCGCAGGACAAAATCGAAATCGCGTCCTGCGAGCTTCCCTCTCGAGTCGTCCCTCCGGCGGTCGTCCGCGCGTTACATTCGTGCGGGGCGAGCGCGTGTTTGCGTGCGACGCGCATGCAATTTGACGTTCGAGGATAAAGGCGACGCTGCAGCGAGGTGGTTCACCCTTTCGTGGAAGGTGCCAACTCGCGGACTGTTCTACGTCGGGTGACGGCCGAGCGGCCGACGGATTGCGGACTCGGAGGAATCGCGATTTTCGCGGCAGGACTCTCTTTCCTCTCTCTCTCTCTCTCTCTCTCTCTCTCTCTCTCTCTCTCTCTCTCTGTCTTCGTTTTGCCCCTTTTGCAAGGCGTAGCTCGCAAGGCAGGGCGAGAGCAAGGTCGTTGAGACCGGGAATCGTTGGCCGCATTGCTGGGGCCCGGTCGCCGAAAACAAGGGACGCATGAATTTATGGCAACGACCTACACATTTCGTGCATTGACTCGCCGCACCGCCGCGCGCCGCCTTGGGTCGCGCGCTGGTTTACCGTTGATATTCCGTTTGGCCGCGCTCCAGAAAAATAGCTATAACAGTTTCCGATAATCGAGGTTAGTGCACGCCATATGGCCGTGTGTCCATTCCTAGCGCGATTTCATTAGCCTTAGACTCGGCCGCGAGAGAGAAGGAAATACATGCACAGCCGTCTCTCAGCGAGAAACAGAAACAGATATTTATATTCGTCGGCGATCGCCGACGGAAACGTGATAAGAAATTTAGCCCGCGCGCGCTTCGTCGTTGAGATCGCGAGATTGACGGTTCTTTCCTTTTTCAAGTTCTTCTTCCTCGCTCGATGTTTCACGCTCGCGATTGATCGAGCTTTCTCAAGCAGCCGATTCGGAACGCAAGCGATATAGCAGATGTGTGTCGCACTAAAATCTCGGAAAATCGATAAATGGGTCACCATTGCACATTTAACATTCAAGGGGAATTTCACGCTTTACCGGTAAGCCTTCGAGCCCCGAGTCCGACGTTCTATATCGAATGTGTCCCTGAGCAAATTAAGGCAAGTGTGTCTGAATCTCGTTAATCGGTAAACTCAGGTTCTCCCACCGATGATGCGGCGGGAACGGACGGCCGAATCGATTAAACATCGAGCGTAATGTTGAGCGTGAAGACGTAAAAAGGGAAATTACCGTTAATGAAGGACCCGTTCCGTTGCCCCATATTTGTTCATCCGCGAATAGCGACGAAGAAGTAAGCGAGCGACCGTACTCGCGACGCTTCGCGCGAATCTTTCCTCTCGCGCTGCTTCGAATTCGCACCGAAAAATGAGAATTTGCGGATGGACGCGCAATTATAGGGAGAATTTTCACCGCGACGTGCTCGCAGCCCGACTCGAGCTCGAGGTGTTATAGCTGAAGCTACATGACAGATATACCGAGGCAATGCTTTCTTCAACTCGAAGGAAGCGAGATCAATTATTCGTAACTGCGTGGAAAAAATGAGAGCTCTCTCTCTCTCTCTCTCTCTGTCTCTCTTTGTTTCGCCCTGTTCTCTCTCGTCGAATTGTGCTCGACTTACCTTATTAGCTGGAAATCCCTCCGGAACGTGAGAGAATATGGAGGCTCTTGGCGCCTCGACGCGCTTCACTACAGCCGCTACACTTGGAAAATGATCGAGGGTAGAAAGCGGCGAAGGAAAAGCGCGAACGCGAGCGCGAGAGCTGACGAGGAAACTAGAGAGAAGCGAAGCAAGAGCGAAGAGAAGGGGTGGGAGAAAATGAGAGCACCGTAAAGCCTGTAAAGCACGCTCAGTGAAACCGCTTTTGACGGGGTGGTGGTCCCGCGACTACTGAACCTTTTGAGAGATTCGTATCCTGGTCGATAAACTACCCCACAGCCCAACCACCCACCAGGCCTGTGCTAAAAGTATCGTCACAGCGACGACCACCTGGTGCGTCGAGCTCTCGCAGTGCGCGCGCATGCATTTACCATTTTGAGACGATACGTGCTGCGCCGTTTCCAAAACAACCGATCGCAACCGTTCGACAGGATCCGTACTCGTACGAATCTCGTCGATGGAAAGAGGAAGACGCATGTCGAAATTCGCGATGTCGCGATGTGGGATCGAAGAAGAATTCAGTCCGATATATCCGAACGCGATGGCCGCGACTCGTCGGTTCGCTCGTATTCCTGATCGCAAGATGACTTTCAAGAAGTCAGCAGGATCGGCTGGTAATTCGCACGTGATTCCTTTTCGATGGCGCTGGGACTTGCGAATTGCCGGGAGCAATGCCGAGGACGGGGTGGGTCGCCGACTTGCACATACAAAACACTTTATTGTTAGTGAAAACGTTTTATTAAACTCTGAAAGTTTAAAATAGCGATAGAGTTTACTTTTGCTTACAGTTTTGTTTAATGTAGAATCACATACATATATCGCCCGTGTTTTCTCGCGCGTAATGACAGCGACGATGAATCGCGATGCTCGAGATCGATTGTTGCGACTTGCGCCGCACCGCTGCCGAGCTCTCTCTCTCTTTCTCTCTCTCTCTCTCTCTCTCTCTCTCTCTCTCTCTCTCTCTCTCTCTCTCTCCCTCTCTTTCTCTCCCTCTCTCTTTTCGCACGTGGAATCGGCTCTGTACATTACGCGCGAGGGGCCAGCTCGCATTACAAGATAGATTTCGGACAAAGTATCGTGATGTGAAACTTTCATAATAATTGTCGAGCGGTCCGCGCAAACGGAACTCGTTCTATCAGTTGCAGATTATAGTTCCGCGTGTAACCGTACATATATATGTGTATATATATATATATATATATATATACATATATAATTATCATATGAGGAAGATAGAGTGTATACATATATCATTGTATAATAAGTTTATACAAAATTTGAAAGATCGTCTTCAGAAAAAAGCACTTGCTCCTGCCGCCGCGACTCACACCCCCCCGTCCATCCGTTTGTTTTTAATTGGTCGTCGATAATGCGCGAAAGCATATTCAATGCGGAGATTAGAGATAAAGGTTTTTGTGTTTTTGAAACCGAGGACACGCAAGAAGCGCACACACACACACACACACACATACACACACACACACACACACGGCGCTCGCTGATCCGCGTCGTTCTCATCCCCAGAGCGGTGAGACATTCGGTCGAATGGCACGCGCAGATTACGCGTATAAAAGATAATAATAATAATTCTAACGAGTCACGTCCATACACGTACATACGTAAAAAAAGACGCACGCAGCACCGTACGAGGCTTTCGTTCGTCACGCGTACGTATCGTGTTTATTATACGCGGCCTTACGAACACTGTTCTCCGTCCGTGAGCAGAAACTTAGATGATTCCGAGGACAAGACTTTTCGCAAAACGGAAGATCCCGCTTCATTGCGACGCAATGTTATGGAGAAATCAGAGATATGTAAGAGTCTTTAGCATACTGGACATTGTTACACCAGATAGTCTTGTTTGCCTATCGCGGTCACACATGCATAAGCGAATCCTAAATACAATAAAGATCTCGTTGTTTGTTCGCTCGCAATAGAAAAGAAAGAGAAACGACGAACTTTTCTCTCCCCCTCCTCTCTCTCTCTCTCTCTCTCTCTCTCTCTCTCTCTCTCTCTCTCTCTCTCTCTCTCTCTCTCACTCTCTCCGGATGAATTTGTCGCTCCTGCGTTTGTGAACCTACCGCGGGAATACCGCGTGCACCTGCGTGTGCGCTGCACGTATCCTGTTGTAAGCGCGTAAAAGTAACAACACTCACGTGTCGGACACGCGTAACAAGCAACGATAGTACCGTTAAACGTTCGCTACGATTGGCACCTATTACGGGTCCGAGTATTTCTCTCGTGAATCTCAACGAAACGTAAAAATCTCTCTTTGCAAACGGCTCCGGAATAATCAACAACGAGGGCTTACTATATATACTATATGCCAGAAGAAGAGAACTCTTCTAAATGATACATACGGATCTATGATCGCGCACTAAGTCACTATCGATAGTTGCTCGGAATACGGTTATCGCCAGTTTGCATGAAGCGCTATGTACACACCTAACGCTCTTAGATACTTTCGTCTAATAGGGAACATGTATAATATATACATATACATATACACATACATATATATATATATGTATATGTATACATATATATATCTTTTTTGTTTTATACTTATATAGAAGGTGCCAAAGCTCATGTCGGAGAGAAAGTAATACAATATATAATGCGTAATGCGCGATGAGAGAAATATATGCAAGATGCGTAATTCGCGATGCGTGATGCGTAGTGTCGTAATTTTTACTTCTTGTTAACAATAATTATTATATATCTTTATATCCTGCTTCATTTCCTCGGTCTCTCTCTCTCTCTCTCTCTCTCTCTCTCTCTCTTTTCTTTTCTATTCTTCTCCCTCCCTCTCTGCCTCTTTCTCTATCCTAACGGTACGAGCATTGCAAATTAGAGAAACAAAGACCACTGATCTCGACGTTGTGATGAATTTGCACGTCGACAACCGCCCGAGAAATTAACCTTCGTGCTCCGTTGAACGAGATCTTACTTTGCTGGAAGGCGTCAGTCCGGAGTGCACTAACGCTCCGAGTATATACTTTTGTTTGATTTGCTCGAAATGTAATGCACGATATTACATGTAAATTCGTTACGGAAGAGCGAGGGATAATCGTCGTGTAACGTATGCTGTGTACGTGTATGTGTATGTACGTACGTGTGTGTGTGTGTGTGTGTGTGTGTGTGTGTGTGTGTGTGTGTGTGTGTGTGTGTGTACGTGTGTTGCGTGTGCGTGTGTATGTGTCATGTGCCTTACGTGAAAATTAGGCAGTGCTGATCGACAAAGTGATAACAGCCGCGTTTGTTGCGCAAAGGATATACGGGCGAAACGCCCGTTTAATTTCGCGGCACCGCCGCCGGGCAAATAAACCTTGGCTTCCGGGGGAGTCACGAAAGTTAAATGTCGTGTTGCTTTACACCTACACGTGAGCTGCTTGAACGCATATATACTTAGGATTTTAACCATCTCTTCGCGTTTCCCTCTCTCTCTCTCTCTCTCTCTCTCTCTCTCTCTCTCTCTCTCTCTCTCTCTCTCTCTCTCTCTCTCTCTCTCTCTCTCTCTCTCTCTCTCTCTCTCTCTCTCTCTCTCTCTCTCTCTCTCTCTCTTCTCTCTCTCTCTCTCTCTCTCTCTCTCTCTCTCTCTCTCTCTCTCTCTCTCTCTCTCTCTCTCTCTCTCTCTCTCTCTCTCTCTCTCTCGTTTCGTTTTCGTTTACATGTTTTCGTCAGATTTCATCGTTAGACAAATACGTCATCGTTCGTTCAGCGACGTCCGCTTGCACCAACGCCGAGGGATTGCCAGTGCCAATTTTCTACCTCCGGCTACGTTTGTGTGCTCCAAGATGGTGTCTGGATTCCAAGAGAGACATCCAACACCCAAGTTGTCTAGTAGAGACGGTAAGCTAAAATCGAGACGCGCGCTGGTGCAACGGACCGTTAGAGAGACGGTTCTTACGCAACCGATTCGTTCTCTAATGCTACATTTACGAGTGAGTATATATATCGTACTTATAATTATTATAACGTGCACGCGTTCCTTCCGCGTCTTCGTTCGGTGTACCTTACCGCGCTGAGTGAACGAGAAAACACAAGTTGTATGCTCGAGCAGAATCTCGCAATATTACCATGCTAAACTTTGTAGATCTCGTTTTCCGTGTCTTATATATGTGTGTATGTGTGTGTGTGTGTGTGTGTATGTATGTATGTTGTACATATGTATGCGCGTGTGCAATCGTGATCGTCTCGTAAAATATTTTATAACTGGTTTGTAATATAAGTTCATAATTCTCCGCAGTAACTTTTAAGTGGACCCCAATAGACGAACGTGTATCCGCGCGCCGAGAACTGTTGCCGTCGTAGAAAACCCGGACATTAACACGGGTGAAACTCTTATTATAAACGCATGCGCTTTGCCACGCATGAAAACGCGTCGAATAATATAAATATAATCGTGCGATTACATTTCTTTTCTTCCTTTTGCTCGCTTGCGAAAAGAGGGATTGGCATTGCGTGCCATCACGCGATGCCAATTTTATCGTTTCCTTCCTCTCCTTTTTTTCTATTTTTCTCTCGCCTTTCCTCTCCTTCTCCCTTAAACGTCAGGTCTCCTTGCACCCATCGAGCTTGGCGCCCCGATAAAAGTCGTATATAAAGTGTACCTTCGAGTGAACACAAACAATTTGTAAAACGACATCGAGAACGAAGCTTTCTCTGCGCGCAGGCACAAACTTTTGTAACCGCTTATCAAGTATAAATATCGAGTGTAAAAAGATAATGTATAATATCTTTTTTTATTTTCTTATATGCAAAAGACGCATGTGACATCGCATTATTTCGTGACGCGTTGCGAGATTGTTAGTAGTAACGATAATCGCTAACGAATTTTTATTTTCCCGATTTTACTAGAATCTTTCTGGAAGAATTAACATCGAGCTTTTCTGACTACCGGTGCGAAGTGCTGGAAAAATCTTATCGTTAAATTAGAAATACACGTCTCGACATCAAAGTTCATCTCGTCTGTCCTCTAAAATCGCGAGTTTCTTCCTTCTTCTCGACTCTCCTCCGCCCTCTATCTTTTCTTCTCCCCTCTCCATCCTGCCAAGTCGAATTCTACGTAAACGTGTCATCTACGAGATCTTATTCTGTTGAGATTACAGAGGATAAAGCGACGCGCGTGGTGAGATCGATCGCGTTGGATTACTTGGCGCGACAATGTTCCGCCTATATACCGAAGATGTATTCGAATGCAATGTGATCCTCTTTACCTGCGAGTGAAATAAATATGCTCGTAGTGTACGCATAAATCAATGGAAATCGCGCGGATTTCTCTACGGAGAGATTTGCAACGACGTTCTAGAAACGTCGCCGCAACAGAACGTCGTTTAAATGTATCGAATCCTCGGTATACCAGGTAGAAAAGTGCACTTTTCTCGGCGTGTACATTCGTAACATAAATAGTCTGTATCATACATGTATATATAGATACCAATGCGCCAGGTAGCCAGATTTCCGCTCATGTCACACGAGCTAAAACCCGGCTGGCGCCTGCGACTTGCACGTTTGTTATATAAAAGAATCTCCGAAATTTTCCCTTTACGAGGTATCCTGTATACTCCTCGAGAAATCAAATCTGTCTTTTTTACGAGAGGAAAAACGTGTCCCGCGGTATCTCCTTAGACGATAGAAAATCACCGTGTACTCTCATGTCTAAACACACTGGCATATATACAGAATATACAGAGCTTGTCCCGGACGTCGCGTTTCCATCCCCTCGACGAGGGACCGAAGATTGAGATACGCCTGCTCGTTTGTCCGGTATATCGCTAATCATTTATCTCGTTTGTCATTATTATTTATAACGTAACCCTAAAGTGAGTGTGTGTGTGTGTGTGTATATATATGTGTGTCGTTTTCCTGATTAATTAATATCGATGTCTCAAACGAGAGACTGTGTCGTTGCTGTCCGCGAGTACGCACGGAGGAAGAAAACGCGACTCTCCAGGAGACTCTGCGTACATCGAAGATGTTAAGAAAGAATGGCGATGTCCCCCGAGAAATTCCACTGTAGCTTTCAACTATTCTTTCCCCCCTCCCTCTCTCCACCTATCTTCCCGTCCCTCGTCCCGTCTGGACTCATCCGCGGAATCGAAATCACCCTTCCCCCCCTTCACGTCCCGTCTTGGACTCGATCCTCCTCCTCCTCCTCCTCTCTCTCTCTCTCTCTCTCTCTCTCTCTCTCTCTCTCTCTCTCTCTCTCTCTCTCTCTTCCTCCCCCTCCGCCTCCCGCAACGTATCTTAGGCCTCTTCGGAGTGCGAGCCTTGAGAACTGCGTTTCTTCCTGTGGTTGTTATGATGATGATGTTGCATCAGTGCGTCGGTCTCAGGCTGATTTTGATGGCCCACCAACAGGTCCAGGGTAGCCTTGTGCACTTGCGCCTGCGGCTCGCTCGTAGGCGGCGGAACGGGGGTCGCGACCGGCGACTCCACCGGGAACGGTAAGCAGTGTATCACGTAACATCTCACGCCGGCCAGGACGAAACCTGAAAGCGAAGCAACGCGTCGGTCGATGTCTATACGTCACGGGCATCGGCGGCGATCGATTCGGTCGGCCCGATCGGATCGATCGCAACCGCGATCAGGGCTGCTCGATTTTTCAGCCTGTACGGTTTATCAGAGGAACAGGCTCTCCTCCCTCTCTCGCTCCAAGAATGCTCACCCATTATAAGTAGGGCAGTGCCCGCCACGAGTAACGCCAACCTGTGGTTGGTGGTCGTTGCTCCCGGTGCAAGTTGGACGAGACCGACTACAAGCACCACCGCGCCCAACAACAGGCACACCACCACGGCGTGCAGCCCGGATATCTGGTGGCAACGATCTTCATCAGAGACTACGCTCGTTCGACCGTAGAAACGTTTGTTTGTTTTTTCCTCTCTCTCTCTCTCTCTCTCTCTCTCTCTCTCTCTCTCTCTCTCTCTCTCTCTCGTCGTTTGTGTGAAAATTTCCCGTGCAAAAATTCTCTCAACTGATACAAACGAGTTACTCGGAAAAGGAGGTAAAAGGTGTGCAAATGCGTAGGCAGAAGGAAATTTTGAAACAAATTTGAAGTAATGCATCTCGGAAGAAAGAAGAGGAGCCAATGTATTTGCTTCTTCGAATCTCGGTTGCGGAAAGCCTTGAAATTGCAAACGTTTTCAATTGGCATAAAGTTTACAATTTCGAGCGTCTCCAGCGAGCTGCTCGGCTTTAAGTGTGCTGACTGAATTTTGAAACTTGTACAACTAGCGAGCGAAGGAACGACGGGGTTTCGCCGATGCAAGCTAGAAACTCGCCATACTCTTTGTAACGGTGTCAGGTGTATCTCCTTGAACGTTAACTCTACGATCGGCAATAACAAGCGTTACCTTGCCGCATAAGTAGAGCTCGGGTCTGGGCTCCACATTGTTGTGACCGTGCGGGCTGGGGGTGGGTGGCGAGCCCTGAAGGGGTGGCAACCACTGCCCACTCAGATAGAGCTGACTCGGCCGCTTCAGCCTTTTCTCTTGCCTCCTGCGTTCATGACGAACAGCCACCGCTGGCATAGCCCCGATCATCCTGATTAAGCAGAAAAAGCAAGCAAGTTGTTAGACACCCTGATCGTTCCACCCCCGCAAATCCCGTAAACACGCGCCAATTGGACTACATCGGATTAGAATCAGCGGCTTAGAATACGCGCCGCTTATCTGCGAGTCAAATTCAACATCGACTGTTGCGTTGCGAAAAGAGAAGAGAGAAAAACGACAGGGTGTGCCCATACATCTCGCAGTCGGTCCTAATAAATCGTAAATACGTGCCACTCTCAAAATCGCTGTTTCACGCGCGCGATTACTTCAGCTTCTACTTTGCGAGAAAAATCCACGACGTGAAAATCATCGGCGTTGCCCAACGCGACGGAAAAGCACGCGAGTCGCGTGCCAGCAAATCAAATGTTTTTTGGCGTCGATCGGCGGTGCAGACTGACGCTGGTACTTTTACATCAAGCGCGCTATGAACTTTGGTGACCTCGCTTGACCTCGGCCGGTCGATACGTCATCGTATCCGCCCTCTGGCCCGGAGTCGATGCAGCCAAGTTCCAGGAGGAGTGCCGAGGGCACGCAGCAAGAGGAAAAGCAGCGCTCGGCGACGTATCTTATATTCCTCTATTGATATATTCGTTTCATTAATAGTCGATCTCGTCTCCTCGCCAGCCGGGGAGATTAACGGGCGAGGTCGCTCCCGATCCTTTTTCCACGATTTGGCGCAGCGAGATGTCTCGAGACGACTCGTTAAACAACGCCATGTCTATGCGAGGTCACGACACAAACAGACGTCACGAAATCAAAAAGGAAATATGCATTACACACACACACACACACATAAAACAGAAATCTGCATCAAACGCGCCTCGGGCTACGACGGCAACGGAACGGCTGTGGAGCTCGCGAAGAGCGTGGAAAGACACAAGTCGTTCATTAAGAATGGAGCGTTTCATAAATATTTATTCTCGAAAAATCGTGCGTCAAGTGTATATATATAAGTGGTACAATAGAGAAATCGCAATAAGAAAGCTTTCAAACCTTGTTTAAAATAACTACACGATAGTAGTAGTAATAGTAGAGTAATATTAATAATAGTAATCGCAGTATAGCAGCACGTAATAATTGCGCGTTGGCAATGGTAATTACGACGTAACGATTTCCTCATTCTACGTGCGACGGTATTTCATAACAATGGTAATAATAATAATAATCATCATCATCGTCTCTAATCGCCACGCAAGGGGGGACACGCTGTCGGCCGAGCGGATTCTGCGGGCTGAAGACAACGTCAATTACAGTAACGCGATACGTTAAACAACCGCCATGATACCGTACAGTCCCGCCCGCAGTATCTCCCTCGTAAATCTGCCAACGCGTCGACGTGTATCCCGGTATACGTCGTGCACATACCGTAAATTTCGTGGCGAATAGACGCAAAATGTCTTTCAAGTTGTCCCAACAGAGAGCGACTTGTACTCTTGTTTGTGTCCCTCCTTTTTCCTCTTCACCGCGACGACTTTCGACATCGCAGCGCGGATGAACGAAGCGTACAGTCGCTTGCGCTTCATTTCCTCTAATGTAGTCTTAATTAAGCTTGAAAACTTGGGCAGGAATTTAGACGAGACTTAGCAGTGCGTAACAAAATCCAAAGAATCCTCATTCTCTTTTTCTCTCTCTCTCTCTCTCTCTCTCTCTCTCTCTCTCTCTCTCTCTCTCTCTCTCTCTCTCTCTCTCTCTCTCTCTCTGTCTTCCTCTTTCGCTTCCTCTTTCTGTATACGTGTTGAAGTGAGCGCGTTAGTTTTCGCATATTCTTGCGCGTTTCGCACGATACTTTCATCGTTGGAACTCTTTCGTTCCTCGTTATCGTCTTCGCGTAATGAGGGACGGCGATTCTTTTCGCTTTCGTAGCTATGGCCAACAGGCAGGATTAATCATAGTAATGCGACATGTACGCATATGCGTATATACATATACAGGGTGTCTCATTTTAAAGGACCCACTCAAATATCTCAGAAAAACTGCGTTAAATCGAAAAATGCTTAAGACAAAAGTTGTTTAGCCTGAAGGGAGACATAGGACAGCGATAGCATTTTGTTTACAGATGGCTCCATTTTCGAGATATTTACTGATTATCAATTTTCTTAAATGGAAATCCATATTTTTTATTACATCATCTTTTTCTACCAATTAATTTGAATAACTTCTGTCTGAAATATTTTTTTATTTGCTTAATATATTTTGAGATATTTAAGGAAAACTTGGTAACTTTCCCAACATTTACCTTACGATATCTCGCTAACTATTCGTCGAAAGAAAAAATAGTATTAGACTTTTTTACTTTATTTACTATCAAGAATATATTATTATAATAGTGCCCTAACTTTTATTAACTTAATAATTTTGAAATTTCCAAAGGTCGATAAGTTAATAAAAGTTAGGGCACTAATATATTCTTGATAGTAAATAAAATAAAAAAGTCTAATACTATTTTCTCTTTCGACGAATAGTTAGCGAGATATCGTAAGGTAAATGTTGGGAAAATTACCAAGTTTTCCTTAAATATCTCAAAGTATATTAAGCAAATAAAAAAATGTTTCAGACAAAAGTTGTTTAAATTAATTGGTAGAAAAAGATGATATAATAAAAAACTGGGATTTCCACTTAAGAAAATTGATAATCAGTGAATATTTCGAAAGTAGCGCCATCTATAAACAAAATGCTATCGCTGTCCTATGTCCCCCTTCAAGCTGAACAACTTTTGTCTTAAGCATTTTTCGATTTAACGCAGTGTTTCTGAAATATGAGATATTTGAGTGGGTTCTTTAAAATGGGACACCCTGTATATATACACATACACGTGCATATGTATAAACCGTAGAGATGGCTGTCGTCATTAAAGTTTAATGTATAACACAACGTCGATTCAATTAAATTCGGACCGTTATCGTGCACGCTCGATGTCAATTGGTCTCTCGCTGTGTACAAACGTGCGTACGAGGAAACACATCTCTATTTACATTGTCGTGTTAATCGCCGCTGTGATTAGCTGATTAGCTGATAACGAAGCGAGTCAATTGTGCGGGTCGTGCGAACGAACCGACAATTGGACGTAGTTCGAGAAATAGAGCGCGAAACGAACACGATAGTAAAATAATTCTCTAGACGAGATCTCTTCTCTCGCGCGCCAACTTGCTCTTCCAAAGATGAAAATCTGTCTCTCTTCTTTTTTTTTTCTAATCAATTGTAACTCTACTTAAATCGGAAAAGTTGGCGACTGAGATAAAAACATTGTGCACCGAGCGCGACGCTACTTGGAGTAATTGTACCACTTATTTGAGGACGTCTCGCGTACCTGGGGCGCAGGTATATCTGCCGATGTAATACAGACGCGTCCCTCGAAAAATGAATTGTGCTTGGTAAATCTAATATAGTAAACAACAAAATTACGATCGAGAGATAGTACATAGAGTAGTTAGTTTCTAGCTTGAGAAGGTGTATGCTCCGTCTCTTAAGATTAATGCGAGAAACTTACGCGCTATATACTTGTATATGTATGTATGTATGTATGTATAGGTAAAATTAGTTGCGATTTCAGCCTTTCAGTCGAGGAAACGAACGGAAGAATGAACAAACAAGTGAATGAACCGACGGACGAGCAAGCGTGAAACGAAAAACACATCGTCCCGATAACAAAAGGAAAGAGAGAGAGAGAGAGAGAGAGAGAGAGAGAGAGAGAGAGAGAGAGAGAGAGAGAGAACACTCTCGTAACCACAGACACTCGAGACTAGAAGCAAACTTGTGAGATCCTCGGCTCGCGCGAAGGTACAAAGGAAGCGGAAAGACGATGATCCAACCGTCGTGTCGGCGTGCCCGGCAAATGACGAAAGATACGAAACGCTCGACAACAAAAGGCACTTTTGCGCAACGTTCAATCCAGAGCCGGCCGCGAGACACCCGTCCGGATCCGCCGGCTCTTGCCACTGCTCGTAATTGCGCATCACTTAATGTCGCTTAAAGTAAACTTGTTTGGCCCTCTTCCGCGCGCCGGCCCGGCGTCCTTCACGTCTCGTCGTCACGCCGTCGACGGGGAACAGGACCCGCACCTTAATCTAATCTTGGACCACCCTAACGGCAGGGCTCGCCAACTTCGCGTCGCGAGGACTCGCGAGACTCGAGATATCCCTTTCGAAATGGCTCGTTCGGAGAGGAGAGGAGAAAAGGAGGTGGGCTCTTTCTCTCTTGGGAGAATTGCTCAGGTGAGATTCCACCGGATCGATAGCCGACTGATACTCGTCTTGGTGTCGAATGCTCGTCAATTCCACGCCTACGATTCGACGACCCGGCTCTGATTCAATCGCGATGAATTTCGCCCTTCCTATCCGCGTCTGACTCTCCCCTGTCTGATTTTCTTCCGTGTCTTTCGCTCTCCACTTTCTTCTCTCTCTCTCTCTCTCTCTCTCTCTCTCTCTCTCTCTCTCTCTCTCTCTCTCTCTCTCTCTCTTTCTCTCCCCCTCCCCTCCTCGCTTACGCAGACTCATTCTCGCGAATTTTGCAAAAGAGATAAAAAATTTGCAACCACGTACAATCAAATGGTGGGGACACTCCGTCGACGATTGGACAATGCCCGCGATGGTGATGAGAAAACAGCATGTATAATGGTGTATAATTATATATATATACAGAGTACCACACTTCTTCCCCGTCGAAAGAACGATTCTCAATGCGATTTATTTAGTATATAAGACGATTAATTTTCTTTTTATTAGGATCACAGAATAGTAGCGCCCGAGCATAGCAATATTTCATTAAGGATGTCCGGAAACGAACGGGACGAGCCGCGCGTTCTGCCGCCTGCGAGTTAATAACGTCGTCGTCGTCGCCGAAATGTAAACCGGAATCGGCGCGAGTCGACGCCATTCGTTCTCGAAGATCTCGCCGACTAAAGCTATATATGTATATTTTTATGTATATATATATATTTATGTATATATATAGTGTGTATGTAAATAAATGCTTAATATATTATAAAAAGGAATATAGCATATTAAAAGTATCGACTAGCTTAACAATACTGCGCCAACAGTCATTGGACGAATAGCCGGAATTCTTCCATGGTGTATCATGGTGTTTGGGTGCTGTGTGTGTGTGTGTGTGTGTGTGTGTGAATTTGTGTGTGCCTTAGCGTATGTGTATAGATATCCATTACATTTTCAAAGTTAAAACATTAGAGCTGGAATATATCGAAATCAGATCTTGGAATGTCATCGTATAATCGAATGTCATCCGGTCATTTTTCTTCCAAGGACCCTCGATTTAGAGACATTAGTATCAATCCCTCCATTTCAACGCAATTGTACGTGTGACACGCTAAAGGATTAAGATAACAAGTAATAATTGGATTAAACAGGTAATAATCACCAATGAGATCAGAGAACCTAGACAACCTACAAATATCGCAGCGCCCGCGTCGGCGGCGTCGGCGAATGAACCGAGAAGGTTCGACCGATTGGTTCTATAATTTCGGATTAACGTTGAATTAATTTCAGACTGTTAATACAAGAGAAAGCGGTGGCGCGACGTGTTTCGCACGTCGTCGCCCCGGAACGTTTGTAAAAACAAGTTGAGTATAGACGAGCAGCAGTACGAAAGGACTAAACGCGCGTTCGCGCGCGGGTCTACCGCGATTCGTCGTATCGTAAGCCTATATATATATATATATATATGTGTATATAATCGATTTTTAGGTATAAAGGATTATTCAATGAGTTATTTTTACGAGTAGTTCCCACTATGGAATGCATTAACAGCAGCTGCGCTTCGCAGAACCACCGTCGTCGTCGTCGTCGTCGTCGTCGTCGTCGTCGTCTTCTGCCACGATATGATCTCTTTGGATAATGGTCTTGGTCCTTGAGTGCGATTCTTCTTCTTCTTCTTCTTCTTCTTCTTCTTCATCTTCTTTTTCTTCTTCTTGCTTCACGTACGCGCCCGAAACTTTGTTCTACTCGCGATTGTATCGAGCTCCTCGTCGCCCGCAAACTTCGTAGCGGATCAAAATCAAAAGACAGACAGGGAGGAGCATGTTCCCCCTCGGCTCTTTCGGAAGGAACGGGACATCCCCGGCGATGCTCGTCGATTATTTCTCGATTATTTACGTGCAGCGGGTGCACGCGGGCGTGGAAGTTGCCGGCGCCTTCAATCCGTCGAGAGCCCATTCGCAATTCGCCGGTGAATCATTTCCGCGTCATCTCGCGCGCATCCGCTGTTTTTTCCGCTTTTCTCCGCGACTCCAACGCCGATTAGTCTCGCGCTTCGCTATTTCATCGACAAGGTGCCTCTCTTTTGCGCGTCAGCTCTCAACTCAGCTCTATTTGATGCGCGATTGACCGGAATTTCATTCCCGACAGTTCACCGTTCACCGGGAGAGAAAAAGAGAAAGAGAGAGAGAGAGAGAGAGAGAGAGAGCGAGAGACGCCTAATAATATAATCCCGAATAAAAAGATCTCCCCCGATGCGGCACGCGCTTGATTCGCGAGCTGCGTGCCGCGATTGGTGATCCCGATTGATCGGCCGATTCCGCCGTTTCCGCGTCCTCCTTTTTCAGCCTTGTCTCGCTCGCACAGTCCTTAAATCTTCGACACGTAGAGCGAACGGTGCACCTGCTGCGGATTGCCATTCTGTTTGGAGTAGCGCACATTCTGAAGCAACTCCCTGGTCTCGCTGGGCGAGCCCGGGCTGAGGCTGTTAGTGGTCGAGGTTTCGACGCGGTCGCTGATGATCTCCTCCTCGGTGATCTGCTCCAGATACAACGCCGACTGCACCGCCTGATTGTCGTTACCGTTGATCGCTGCGACCTGCGGCGAATACGCCGGCGGCGGGCTCCTCGGCGGCGAGCCAGCCGTCTTATCGTCCTGGATCTCCAGGCAGACGTCGGACGACACCTGCTTCATTTGCTTCGCCCGTCTGGCGTGCCGAGTGGTGAGGCCGCCGGTCTCCACGTCCCTCTCGAGCCTGTGGCCGGACTTGGATCTGGTAAGCTGACGTTGCACGTACTCCTCGAGATCGTCCTCCTCCTTCTTGGCGATCACGCGGTTCAGAATGATGAGGAAGATGCCAATGAAGATGGCGAACAGGCCGACCGCCACCAGCTCGTTCCACCAGCCGCCGGTGGCCTTAGTGCCCCAGTGCGCCAGGTCGCCCGGCAGCAGACCGCTCATCAGCAGGAAGGCGCCCAGCACCAGGAACACTACCCCGATGTGCAGCATCCCGATGGAGGTGACCACCTTCGTGTCGAGCATACCTTGGCCGGCATTGCGGGCGGCGTGCGGGCCCTTGTGATGCCTGCCATGATGGTCCAGCGATCCGGTTGAGGCCCTAGGCGACGTCAGGCCGCTTTCGCCTGATTGCGCACTATAACGACGCTCGCGAGCGCGACGCTGCTCATCCCGGCGCTTTCTCTGACGCTTGATGGCCAGCGCCGAGTGCAATCCAACCGCGTGCATCCTGCAACACCGGAAAGACAACCCTTGCTCAGTGAGTCCTCTACAATTCTGTTTCTATGGCGCGCTCTCTCCCCCCCTCTCTCTCTCTCTCTCTCTCCCTCTCTCTCTCCCTCTCTCTCTCCCTCTCCCTCTCTCTCTCTCTCTCTCTCTCTCTCTCTCTCTCTCTCTCTCTCTCTCTCTCTCTCGTTATGGTCTACATCGCGAACTCTTTAGCTTTGTCTTATTGTTTCTCTCTTTTTCCATCTCTTTCAGACGAGTCGCGCTCGCGAGCCACGCGAGAGATTGATCTGGCGACATTACGATCGAAGCGAGACAAAGGAAAGAAATGCCGAGTTGCTTGGCGATCGTGAATCGATCGCGTTGCCGCGCGTAGATATGCACGTAGGCAGCGGTGACGAGCCGACAAAAGAGCAATTTGCATGCCTGCTCGCGAGCAATGTGGCGGGCAATTGTACGCGCGTACAAATTAATCGATACCACACCGCCGCTACTCTCTCTCTCTCTCTCTCTCTCTCTCTCTCTCTCTCTCTCTCTCGGCGGCGAGGTGAGCGCAAGAAAGTCTACCGGTAGGATTAAGCAGCGTAATGTCTCATTTCCCGGCGATCACTCGTCGATCTGTCCGTTTTGCTCTGGCAATTCGCGCTCGCGCGTTTTCTATCTTTCGCCGTTGACTAATGCTTCGCTACTTTTATCGATCGATGCGATCATCGGTCTATGAGGCCTACGAGATCTATTTACAGGGTTTACAGGATGCACAGCGATGGAATAGCGCGTATCAAAAAGCTCGACGACGGCGGCGGCGACGACGATGACGATGACGACGACGACGACGACGACGCCAACGACGACGACGACGACGACGACGACGACAACGACGACGACGATGACGACGTCTCGAGTCCTCTGAAGAGAGGTCTCCTCGCGTGTGCGTCGTTTGATCGATGAGACCCTTCGCTCTCATATTCGCCTTCGGTTCCTCGTTCGGCCAGAGAAACGCACAGTCGTTGTTTATACGTCATGACACAGCGAAGCGAATCGTTTTGCATCTGTAACGTCTTACATTTGTTTATTACGACTGCATTCCTCTCTCTCTCTCTCTCTCTCTCTCTCTCTCTCTCTCTCTCTCTCTCTGTTTCTCTCTTTCTTTCATTTTCTTTACCTCTCTCCGTTGCTCCATCTTTCATCTTCACTTTCAGGAAACCGACGGAAATTGCCTTCCCTCTTGCAGCGGAGCAAAGGCCGACGCAACGGTTTCACCGTCGTCGTGTAGCTATATAGATTAGTATACATAACTCGTACCGTAAAACGAAACAAACCATTCGATGAATCGATAAAAGAAACGATCCCGCCGAGTTATATACGTTCCTTCTTCGAGATCGGATAGCTTTACTTTAGCGAGTTTCACGACCACGTAGAGAGACACGGTCGAGAGGCCGAGAAGTTTTCCGCGAGAATGGAAAGATCGGCGAGAAGTGAGAAGCGAGTTGGTAACATACATACTTGCACACACGCACGCACACACATAGATATATATGTAATTGAAAAGAGCACGAGCGAGATACCGGTGAAACATTCTTCCGTCGAGCTCGGATCTGGATATATCGTGGGCGCACACGCAACAGCGCGATTCTTGCGTTTATTCGCCGCGATATTCGCCCTCGACTCGTTTCTCGCGTCTATACGTAGCACGTGCACGCGATATCCATCGCACGGGGATTGAACTCGGCCGAACTCGTAGCCAATTCTGAGGCTGTTCGATCAACGGCCGACACCGCAAGGAGAGAATCGTTACATTCCGGCTTCCCTTATCCAATCTAACCAATCGTGCCGAGGGTATCGTACGTCGAATAGTCGAGCTCGAGTATCGGTCCGATATCTCGAATCATTCCGAGCAGCGATATCCCTTCTCAATCTCGCAGTCTCTCATTTGCATATGCATAAGCCGCTCCCCGGCGCGCGAGGAGACGCGCGGGAATACACGCGAGATGTAAAATAAATGGCGCGCGTGGCGGCGCATTGCGTAATGTAACGTGTATGTATGTTAATCTTTCCTGCTTTTCTCTTCTATCTTATCTCACAAGCTGTTCGCTCGCATGATGCCTCAGCGACACGACGCCCCGACATCGTGCGCCTTCTCTAAAGGGCATGTAAGCGAAGTAATTAAATACCGAGCACTTTGCGCGGCGTAGGCGATGCACTCGCTCACCTTTTTGTCCCCCCTCCACCCTCCGACTTGCAAGGCTGCGAGAAATAAAAGAGGAAGCACCTCCGAAATGCGCAAGAGGGACGGTCGCGTTGGGGTGAAAATTGAAGAGTGGTCTTTATCGAGCGGCCGAAGTCTCTCTTTCTCTCTCTCTCTCTCTCTCTCTCTCTCTTTTTCTCTCTCTTTCTCTCTATCGCTCGGTATCTCGCTTTGTGTGAGAAGGTGCTGTGCTATTCGCATCATAAATATTTCACCCACGGAGGAGGATATCTTTGATCCACTTTGCCCTGTCCGCGTCAGAAGATATCGCGCGTGTGCGGGAGAAACGATTGTCGCGCGCCTGTACATCGGCTGTAATTTCGGCGCACAAATAGTTTCGCGCGCTCAGTCGACGAATCGACTGGTCGATATCGTCTCGATATCGGCAATCGATAGCGCCTTCGCCGGCGCGGCGCGACGATACGAAGCGGAGGTGGGAAAAATCTCAAAGGTGACTCCGCGGATGCTCCTTCATTTTACGATCACAATGCGCGGCGCCACGAAAGCGTTTCCTGCTCGACGATCAATAAAACCATCCCCCTTACAGAACGCAAACGCAAAGTACACGAGGACAGATAGTTGGGTGCACTATACGTTACGTACGGCAACACGGCCACGCATATGTACGGCGGCCCCCCGCGAGAAGGAAAGCCCCGCGCGTTCATCGCGGGGAAAAAAGCTGCGAAGATCAACGGCGGGGCAATTTTGACGCGACGGAGAGAGGGAGAAGAACGAGCGTGGAAAGAGAGCGCATCTGATTACCTTTCGAAACGAATTCGGAGTACCGAACGATAATTGTTGCAGAGACTAACGAAAGAAATGGCAAATTGTCCGTACAGCGTGCAAAATTGAGAAGAAATGATGAGAGAGAGAGAGAGAGAGAGAGAGAGAGAGAGAGAGAGAAAAAGGGAGAAAAAGGGAGAAAAAATCAATCCAAACTGCTCGAAACGAAGAAAGAGAGAGAGAGAGAGAGAGAGGAGACGAGAAAGTACCTCCGCGGAAATGTCACGATCGATTCGCGTCGCGACGATTGTTGACACTTTCGCAATTCGCGATTGGTAATTCTGCGAGGTTTCCGACACGCTCCCTTGTACCCACATTTCGCTCCTGGTACTGATTTTTCTCCTCTGAAACGCGACCGCTTAAAATTACACGGGTCACAGAAAGGAGAGAGAGAAAGAAGGGAAAGAGAGGGGGAGAGAGAACGAGAGTAGAGAGGGTTGCACTCATGTGGCGTGTATGATTACATACCACCCTTACGAACCTATGATTACGCGTGATGGTTACAAAGCGCGGTGTATCGAGCCCCATTACCGGCAGAAAAGTGACATTTTTATCCGGTTAACCCCCGGAGACATTTCCTCGAGTTACACCACCCTACTACAGCTACGTGGAAACTATTTGTCACATTTCACCCTCCGTGTGTACATATATATATATATCTCGCTCGCTCTCTCAAGCTGAGTGCTCTAATTACGCACTTCATATCGCGTTTACCGCTCATTAATACAGCCGGCAGCTCGACTCGAGGATTGACTCGACGATTCTTAATTCTCCCTTTCGTGATCACGTAAACACCTTCCCGCCACCCCCTCCCCCTGCCCCGCCGCTCTCAGACGCCAGACTACCGTCGCTGGAATTGTTTCCTCTCGTGCGCACAAGAGAAAGAGAGAGAGAGAGAGAGAGAAAGAGAGAGAGAGAGAAAGAGAGAGAGAGAAAGAGAGAAAGAGAGATCGTATTGTTACACCACGTGGCCCTGGGCTTGCCATTTCGCGAAATTATATCGCCATTTGGGCGTTTCGTTATTTCAAGTTTTGGCACACCGCCAGCCAAGTCGAGCGGCCAAGCAAGCTCCTCTCATTACGCTGTCGGGTGCGTTGTTTTTCGAGACGCTCGGGCAAATTCGTAGCGCAAAATCGCGGAAATTCACGGCCGTGGTGAATGAAGCGGACGAAAATCTTGATAGGAACCGGTCGCGCGATTTGCGAATCGTCCACGGAGAGTCGTCGAATTGAGTTCGCAAAATCGATCGCGTTTCCCGCGAATGGTGACGAGCGGACTTTGTTCGAGCCGGTGACTCGAACTCGTCCCCGGAACTGCCGCGGCGACGAGGTGTAATACAGAAGCATACATACACACACACACACACACATACATACACGCACGACTATAGCAATCATATTGACTGCCTCGCGCGCAAAATCCTCCAATTGCAAATATACGCAACTTGCAGTTCCGCGCGCGACTTCTTTATAGACGAAGAGCGGCGGCGTGACATCTATTCCGCAGTCATCGACCGATCCTATGTTTACGTTTGCACAAAGTAAGCGCTGAAGCGTCAGCCTCATCGGAAAATCGACTGAGCTTTTAACCCGTTCGTGTTATTTTTCTTGGCCATAAAAACAGGCCGTCTGCCAATAGACAGAAAGAGAGAGAGAGAAAGAGAGAGAGAGAGAGAGAGAGAGAGAGGGAGAGAGAGAGAGAGAGAGAGAGGGAGAGAGAGAGAGAGAGGGAGAGAGAGAGAGAGAGAGAGAGAGAGAGAGAGAGAGAGAGAGAGAGAGAGAGAGAGAGAGAGAGGAGCGCGAGCCGATAGTGTGAGCGCGCTTCTTCATTACTACAACACGAGCGTGCAAGAAGAGCGTCTGCCGAGGACGAAGGGAGAGCGCGCGCGCCCCACGCTGAAGAGGAACGCGCGTCTCTCCTTCAATCACGTACGAGAATAAACGGCCGTCGTTGAACATTTGCCCGTACACGGCGGATTTATTAATCGTTCTCCAGCTGCGCTCGCCGCCCGCTCCTCCTCTTCACCCTCGTCAGAGCCGCGACGACGCATTTCGCGAGAGAAAGAGAGAGAGGACGACGCGCGCGAAAATGCCGCGGAGCTGGTGGCGAAGGTCCTAAACAAAGTCGGCCGCCGCATCGTCTCCGTGTGGCAATGGTAACCTGTTGCCAGACACGACATCGGCTGGCTTATGTGTGTGTCATAACGTCGGCGAAGAAGCAGCGCGCGCGGCGCGCGACTATCCCGCTCGATCAATGATAAACTGCGTAAACGGCCGGGACGGCCGCTAAATGACAATGCACGGCCGCGTGATTCGCGGTAATCTGCAGTGCGCGCATGTGTGTGTGTGTGTGTGTATGCGTGTGTGCGCTGCGTGAACAGGATTAAAACCCGAATGTGACGTTATTACGACGCATATCCCTATAAATACCGCAAGACGTGGGGTAAAAGGGAAAATAAATAAAGAGAGCGCTAATGAGAGAGAGACGAGCGGCGACGACGGTGGTATGGTATTCCCGTTTAGCGAGCAAAGAAGAGAAAGAGAGAGGGGGAGGGGGGAGAGAGAGAGAGAGAAAGAGAGCGAGGGGAGAAAGAACTGCGTATGCATCGCCCGGCCAGGACTCCGATTTGCCTCGTTTGCTCGGTGGTGTGTCATCGCCGTATGCGGAGGTGGCGAACTATCGCATGCAATTGTCCGAGTGCGCACACACACACATACACACACATGCACGTACATCCCTCTCGGAATAGCATTCGCCAGACGTAACAAAGCGACTGCCGTGATGCGGGTATACGTGCGTTTCCGCGCGTATTTTCGGTGCGGCACTCTTTCCGATCTCACGCGCGCAAGTCGCTCTCTCGTCAAGTACGCGGTCGCAGCGCAGCGCCTTCGATCGCGATTGCAGCTTGCGATAATATTTATCGATAGTACGTGCGTGTGGGCATGCATGCATGCTGTGTGTGTGTGTGTGTGTGTGTGTGTGATATGAAACAACACACGAGCGACACGAGCGAGAGCAATTCCGTCCAGAGAGAGAGAGAGAGAGAGAGAGAGAGAGAGAGAGAGAGAAAGAGAGAGAGAGAGAGAGAGAGAAAGAAAGAGAGAGAGAGAGAGAGAGAGAGAGAGAGAGAGAGAGAGAGAGAGAGAAAGAGAGAGAGAGAGAGCCGACTGATCATTTATTCAGCCGACCGTCGCGAATCGTAGCCTGCGGCCGCCTCCGGATCTCCTCGGAGATACCGAGGAGGGTGTCGCGCGAGTTGTCGAGGGTTGAAGCGAGCGTTTCCAGACTCGCGGCTTGACCCCGCGGCTTGTACACGGGTCGATAATCAAAATGTACCTGTTCTCGCGAGGCCCCGTGCACGAGCGAGAGCCGCGCTCGCGATTCGCTCGACGTATCGGACCGCGTGATAATAACAATGATGATGATGATGATGATGACGATAATGAGATAATAATACATTACCTGACTTCCGCCGCTGCCGCCTACGGGCTTCACGCTGCCAGAGAAGAAGAGTACGGGCGAGTCTCCGCGAATGATGACGCGCCTCTCACGCCATGAACTTCCCTCGACTTGGTCCACCGGGAATACACACGGCCGAGCGAAGGCGAGAGAGCTTCGTCCTTCTCCTCGTTTGGATTAGAAAATCGCAGCCGCCGCCGTCGCCACCACCACCACCACCACCACCACCACCGCCGCCACCACCGCCGCCGTCGTCGTCGTCGTCGTCGTCGTCGTTGGCCGCCTCACCTTCTCCACCCTTTCCTTTTTCCGCGCCGTTTCTTTCCTCTTGTCTTCCCTCCTCGCAAGAAGGTTCCGCGGAGTCGTTACATTTTCCAACGGAATCTTGCTCTTCCTAATGCCGTTCTCCTTCTCTCTCTCTCTCTCTTTCTCTCTTTCTCTCTTTCTCTCTCTCTCTCTCTCTCTCTCTCTCTCTCTCTCTCTCTCTTTCTCTCTGTTTCTCTCGCTTCTTTTCTCTCGCGATTTCGCGCGGATTCGGCCCGACGTTCGGCTCGATCTCACGGCAGCGATCTCTTCCTCTACTTCGCTGCCCGTTTTCCCTTCTGCTTCTCGGTCTCTCCTCGCTTTCTCCGGAGTAAACTTTTCGCTCTCGCACGCGCACGTTCCACCGCGAAAGACCGTGGACGAGTAAAGCCGCCTCTATGTACTAAATAAGAGCGTGTAAGCCAGGACACGCCTCTGCAAAGCATGGCGCAGACTCGGATTCCGTGGACGCGAGCCGAGGCCCAGCAGGGTTTTACTTCGACGGCAACTCAATACGCGCAAGTCATGCTGGGCGAAGCGTTAATTCATGAGAAAATATGTCATCGCGGTGCGTGAAATCGCGAGAGGACGACTTTTCAGCGGCCAGACGAGACCACGGCCAAGATCGGGGAGGTTCCTTTACTCGGTTGGTCCCCCCACCTCGGAGGAAGAAGGACCAATGTACGTTGCCTCGCGGCAATCTGCGAATTTGCGCTTTGAGAATCTAAAGATCGAGTACTTTTTAGATTACCGCTCGGTACGATTGATACACACAACGCTTTGCGCGTTCGCAAAGGTCTCTTTGAGAACCAGCGGGACGTACATTGATCTTCATTCCCGAGATGGGAGAAGATTCTCGAGCGTATGTAAACGACCGGGGAACACAATTGGCCTGGAAACCCACTGTGTACAGACTAATTGACTCGCCTAGCGAGCTCGACAATGAAGCGACTGCACTTGGTCGATTTGAGGAGAGGCACTTGCGCGATTTTTCAGGAGTAGGTTTCAATGGAATCACGCGACACTGTCTCGCTACGCTACACAGGGACTCAATGTATAGAGAAAAAAAGTAATCTTTATTACACGTTAAAGGATTGGCCTTGTTGTTGTACACAATTCACGCTGCGGTGATCAAATAAACAATCGGCATTGTCTATGGCCCGCGCGCATACGCCCCCCCTAATCATAATGTACAATTAAAAAATCTTCGGTTCAGCCTCAATAAATATATGAAGTAGGAAGCGACGTATTTGGAGATGTACACATATCACAGATGAGTATTAATTACATCAGTCAAGAAATAGAACTCGATGACGATAATATAAAATATATTCATTAGAAAATCATGCACCAGCGCGCGCTTTCTTCCTCAGGCGACAACGGCTAACGGCAAAGGCGCTCCCCGGGTAATATGATTATCTCGGCTCAACAGCTATGCGATACGCGTGGAAGTCCGCGATTCTAACGATAAAATTGGTGTGTCGTTTGATCGATGTCATTAAGGCACTCTCTCTCTCTCTCTCTTTCTCCTTCTCCTAGTCTCTCACTTGCGTGTCATCATCGCCACGGCTTGCGAACGGTCCCCGTGCTGGTGCTCCTCCTGATGCTCTGGTCTGCAACTGAGACGTACAACTGAGCACTCTAGAAGGTGAGAGGTGATAAATCGACTGCGCGTTGCACGTGACAACTCACTCAAGGTATTCGGCGACACCAGTCTCTCTCTTATATCCGACGTCCAAGTTTGGCATCTGGACCGAATGATATTCTTAGTGGCTACCAACGGTCGCTGATACTTGGTCATCCTGGTAAAAATCGACAATTTTAATCCCGACAAGCGACGACGGCATAGGAAACAATTGAGTACGACGACGGCAATAATGAGATAGGAAATTACGATATTACGTGGATTCAAATTCCTTCAGGTTCTTCCTGGCCAGAGTTTTTTGGGTGGCGAACGAGTACGAGCGAGCCGAAGCCGGGCGATCCGCTCGAGATTGTCTGATCTCGCGATCCTGCGCTATTACCTTCATCCTCTTTGCAGGAGACTGGGCAAACAGCTCTACCAAGTTCAAGGATGCTGCGTCGCACTGATGCAGAGGCAAGTTTACAGAGTCATACACAGATGGATACATAGTGAGATTAATGCGAGGCTACAATTCGCGTTAATCGCATTCGACTCACACATTTGGCCGGGCAAGAAAAAGCAACCGCGAGGCAGCAATTACCTGTAACTGCAGACGATGGAGAAAGTTTACTTCCGCCAGATTCAAAGGCGCGTCGACGTGCAACTTGAGCATACAGTGCAACGCCTCTTTGTAGATCTTTTTCAACGTGATAACGCGCTCGGTGCGCATCAATCTGCGCGTCAAGTAGCCTCTTGCGTACGCATTGATGATATTTATCGCCCGTACCTACGGTGATCCGCAACATCTTTTTAGCTTTCTCTGTAGTCTCGTCGACCACACAATTGCCCTAGTCATACTCACGTGTTTGTCGTGATACACCGAGGTGTCTAGCACCGGTACGTGCGTGGTGTTGCTGTCCAACGGGAACAGCCGCCGGTTCACGGGTGAATTTTTATAGACGATGCGATCGCGCGACTCGCGAGCGCCGCTGTTATCGTCGTTTTCGTGGTTAATATTATTGTTATTGTTGATATGAACACTATCGTCATACGCGGGATCGCGTGGATCTATTTGCCGCGTAAACTTCAAGTTGGGGGCCGCGAGAGACGTATCCGTGATGTAGAACGGCGACCTGCGGTGTTTAGGCGTATATACGTTCTTCGGTGAAATGTAATTCAGAGGACATACGATGACGTTCGCGTGGGACTCGGACGATGACGACTTGCTGTTGCTGCAGTGAACATCTGCATGTGAACCTCTCGGGGAGCTCACGCTCGACCGCTGCCTCATCTCGCAAGCGGCATTTGGCGTGACATTCGAGGCTTCCGACGCTTGACACGGTAACGCGGCAGAGCACTTCTGTATCTCTGCCAGCAGGAGCATCTGCTGCTTCTGAAATTCCGCCTGCAGTAATGATTGCTCTTTCCGCTGACGATTTATCAACTCCATCATCTGCTTCTTATGCATTTCCTCGATTTCTTTGTAAACCGTCAGCAGCTTGTCAGACGCGATGGACGACTTCGCCTTGACGAGCGCATCTCGATGCTCCTTGGTGTCCTTGCTTTTGTCGTAATGTCTCATTTTATCTGGCGATCGCGTCTCGGGGCTGTTGCCAATTGTCGCAGCCTCTTGCAACTTATTCACTAAATTCAATACGCAAACACTGTCGTCTCTCATTGATTTCTCCGACGTGCCTGTGCCCTTTGAATCGACACTAGGAGTACGATTATGTTGATTCTGTATGACATCAGATCTGCCTGTGTGTTCCTCACCGACTGCCCCCTCCGTACGATCGGCAGATTGGTTCGTTTGATATGAATCTGTGGAAGCGACTGGCTCTGCACGCTGAAGATTCGATTCGTGCCTAGTCTCCAGCTTTTCGGGCATCTCAATGGTCTCTGTTGGAAACTGCTTCTTCTCCCACTCCACCTTGGACTGCGTGATATTCCACTGTTTCCGCTGTGATTGATTAACACTAGTGGGTGTAGGAACATAGTTTTTATCAGTCAATTCTGAATGCATATGGGCAAGTAACATAGGACTGGGTGTATCTAATACATAAGAACCTTGACGTGACAGCTTGGGTAGATGCTCATTTTCTTTGGCAACCATCACGAGAGGCTCAATGTTGTCTTTCTCACACTTGGGATTGCTTAAAGTTATCGGAACTATATCCAGTGTCTTGGGTACTTCAGGTTTCCAGCTTTCCGACGACGAATTGTCTTCATTTGATGATGAAACTTCCACCATTGTATTTGTGCATTCTGTCTGATCAGTCTTTACAGTTGCAGGCTCCGAATCATCAAGAGTATTGTTGGTTGGAGATAAATGAGGTTGCAAAGGTACATCTGACATGGGAGACTGAATCTCAAGCTTGTCTCTTGCTTCATCAGTGACCTGTATCATTGGCGCAGGCTCAACAATAGTAACTTTGGAATATGAATCACTGTTATTGGTATCGCTCGTAGTATTATAATTGGATAAATCGCTATCTGAACTATATTTGGTTAGATTCTTTGATTGATTTGTAGATTCTGCTATGTTGGCTTGTACGCATTTATTTTTAATGGTGCGTTTCACTGATTGTTTGACTTTTAACCTTTCCTCCACTTTAACAGCTAAAGATTTGTAATGTTTCATCTCTTCTTTGATACTGTCTGTCATCTGAAAATGATATAATATCAATATAAAATAATCCTACGACAAATGAAGGTATCATTAATCAACAAATATTTACTAATGGTGGCAGAAGAGGTATCCCGTTTACTTTTATGCAAGACGTGTAAAATTCTCGCTGCATATTTTATGTTGTTGAAATCTAGGACACCCTTGTCACAATGTACCGATTATTCTTTTCAATGGTCAGCTCAATTGTTACAGAATTGATTTAGCACCTTTCGCAAATCGCACTTTCTAACGTTCAAATCTACACGTGAGCTCTTCACCAGTTTATCATTCAAATACCAATAAGCCGTCAAAGCAATCACCAAGGAAACTAAATCTATGAAGGACCAAGTAAAGTAAAAGGACCTTGAAAAAGTCCAAGGCTTAACGAAACAATTAGTACCATCTAACGGTGCCGAGTAGAACCTCATTCGCAAAAAGTTGGAAACTCAACTAAATGCGATTTGCATTTTTTTTCATGCACTTTTGGTGGAGGAAAAAATATAGTGGTGGGCTATCATCTTACGTATCTCGACGAGCATTATCGGATGCAATTCTAAAAGTTTATAAAAAACGCTTGGTTTAATTTTTGCCAAATTTTATGGAGGCCGGTAAATTGTGATTCGAGTCTCGGCTAAAAATCAAATTTTTAGTCGAGACTCAAACCGCCTCCATAAAATTTAGCCGAAACGCGAACCGCAGGTTCCAAATTTAAATTTGGTCCATTTTACGTTTTTATATTAATTCCTCTCTCAAAATGGGTGCAGATAGCACTCTTTCCCAGTGCGGAAAGTCGCCGAAAACACCGTGTTGGCCGCTCTCAGGTTCCTCTCTGGTATAAATTCAGTCGAGACTCAAACCATAATTTACCGGCCTCCATAAAATTTAGCCGAGACTTGAACCGCAATTATTAAATTGAAATTTTTTCGATTTTACATTTTTGTATCAGGAGAATATATAACAAGCAAAGAGGTATTCCATTTAAATTTAGCCGAGGCTTAAACTATAATTTACCAGCCTCCACATAAAATTTGACTTGGAGAACTAAACCAGGTGTTTTTTGTAAACTTCTAAAATCGCACTAGATAATGCTCGTCAAATAACGTAAGATAGCACCACCCTCAAGTTTTGCTCTTGCCCGGAAGTGCCCGAAAATACGGCCACCGTTGTAGAACAGAAATATGATTTTTTTGGGCATTTCCAGCGGAAAATAATTTCGAAGGTGACATGATCTTATGTAATTCTACAAGCACCGTCGAACGCATCTCTAAAAATTTACAAAGGGCGCTTGGTTTTCGGGATGTGGCTACAAAATAGTATGTATATAAAGCAATTATGTTTTATTTTATATTCTTGAAATATAACAGGACTCGGCAGGCTGTCGGGTGATTTCTTTCCATTTACTCGCCAACAGGGGTTAGGTGAACCCTTTCTTTTCATATCGCAGACGGCCGAATCCTTCATCCGTTCAGGTGATAACGGCGGACCTCCCCCGCGCCCGCAAGAGAATGTGATCTCTGACCGCGAAAGTGGAGGTCATTATCCCTTATCGTTACGGTCAATATTATCGACCCTGAGGACGGTGCAAGGCAGCACAACGCGGTCAATTCGGCCGATAGTTCCTATGGAAACGCACGTCCGTCGCGATCGAATCGCGACACTCGTCACGGGCATCTCCTTCAGCGCTTTACGGGCGTATGTCCCGCGCGTCGTGCCAGGTGAACCCGGGGCACGGTCTCGTGACGGCCAACCCGCTCGCCGCAGTCTCGCCAATATTGACACGACGAGCGCTCGCGGGTGCCACGAAAGTCTCTTGCGAACGGAGTACGCAAAGTAGCGGAGGCGAAGGCGCTCGCAATTCTCGTCTTCGTTGCTCGCACTTCCGTCTTCTCCTGCGGAATTCACAAGTATGGCAGTCGCGAGTATATACCGCCGCCTAATATAAAGCCTAACGATGAGAAACTTTGCGTGAGAAAAAGTCGATTGATTGTCGGGGGATGATTCCAAATTAATCGAAAGCTACGCGCGAATGTCGGTGACTCGCGGAAGAACTCGTTGCGCTCTCGTTGCGGTTGAGACAGTCGAGAAGAGAAATCGACTGATTAATTAAATTGTCCAAAGTTACCGAGTAAAGCGAGAACGCTCGTCTCGGACGTTTAATAGTAAAATAAAATCCTCCAATCTACTGGACGGTCAAGTATTTGGTGAAACGCGAGACTTCGACCGGGAACTTTCACGATAAATTAAAAAGTTAAGGTTGAAGAGTGGTACAGAGACGATAACTTTGAGTCGCGCTGTTTTCAGGCGCACAAGCATATCCCGAGGTCGGCAATGATCTTGCGCTAAAGTCGAAGGGAAAAGGAAAGAGTGCCGGTGAAGTATCGTGGCCGGAAATGCGCGGACGATTTCGTAAGGATGTTCGTTCGACGGAGCGTCACTGACGGGGATTTTCGCTGACGGTCGTTGATGCCCGGATAGGTAGGCGGAATGAAGCTGTACGGGTAAGGGGTAGTTAGTTTAGGGTTGCTCTTTCGATCGCTCGTCGAGATAAAAAAAGAAAAGACACTCGCTATCGCGCGTATTCTTTGCACTTTCGCGCGCGAGGATGACCGGAAGGACGTCGCTGATCGAACAGAAGAGGATCCAGTGGGCACAGGAAAGGGGTGAGTGCTTCTGGCGCAATAGGCAATTGTTGGATACGTAGAAAATATTGAATACAAAATAGAGTAAAAATGATGTCTACGGAAGATGTCTCTAACGATTTTACAGAAGAAATGGCGCGTCTCGGTGTCAATTGGGGAGCTCTGAAAGCGAGCAATTGCGGTCGCACCCACATTCGGTGAGTTCACGTCAAGGAAGTGACGTGAAACACTTCGTCGTTATCGCCACATGGCACATTCGACCTGTTAATACACGGTTCACGCTTGATGACGCAAGAAAAATTCCCTGACGCAGCACTTTTTCGAACGATGCGAGATTGTCTCTCGGGGAGGCGAAGGATAAGACCTCCGTGCAGCCGTTCCGTGCGGCCGGACATTACGGGAGCACCGCCAGCCTCAAGAGCCTGGCCACGGAAAGTTCCGGAAACGGCAATGTGAACCTCAAGTGCCTCGACTACAACGGCGGCAGTCTGATTAATCTCCGGGACCAGGTGGATGTGTCGCAAGTCAGACGCAGGAGCCCTAGCCTGCCGCCGATCTTCAGCAAGGAGCAACAACGATACTTCTGCCAGCTAGTACGTGCTCACTTCGTTAAAAAGAAAAAAAAATATTTCAACGAGTAATATATATTGAATAAAAAACCAAAAATTAAGAGGGACCAATCATCGTACATCGAAATTATCATATTAATAACATATATCATCAATTCGAATTTCTTAGCAGTTTTAGTGCAGTTCACAAAGAAAAAATTTCAAACGTATATATATTATTCGTAGAAAGAAAATTATAAATTTTTAAATGGTACGAGAAAATGTCTCACGAGAAAACAATGCAACAGAAAATGTTGAGAGAAATTTATGAAAAAATTATTTGTAAGGAAAACGCAATATGATACTATTGAGGATTGTTCTGATTACGTTCAAACTTACGCTCGGCTTCGCCGAAGCCGATGACTTGCTCTTGTCTTTCGTCGTCAATATTTCACTCTGCGATATGAATTTCGATAACGCGGTCCATCAATTCTTCGCGACCGATGTGAATTTGCCATTGAAAATCGACCAGATCGGTTAATGAGATTGCTTCGCCCGATCTCGTTACAAAGCTTGCGGAATACCTCATGCGTCATTGTGGACTGAATAATTGATCGCTCGCCCGCGAGCTTCGTTAGTCGCGTGTAACGGCGAAAACGACAATCACGTAGCCGAAATAATCGAGCAATTACGCGCGGGCGGTATACAGATTGATGTTCGCCGTAATGTAAAACCAACTCTTGGTTCATCCAAGTGTTCAACTCACCCTTTCAAATTATTCGTTTTGACGCCATAATTTATTTTCAACACCATATCGAGTATAGTCCTCGGGCATTTTCGAGCGAACGCGACGACGACCGCACGTGCGACGTAGCTGAAGATAGAGCGCTTCCACGCGCGCAAATTCCGCGTAAGGCCGTAAGTCCATTGAATTAACGATCGTATCTAATCAACAAATTCACAAGTGGTGAACGACACTCGACGGTTCATTCCCCTACGCCGTGGGGAAAGCAAAAGTAAGTCACTCCGGCGAATCGATTCTTATCGCGCAATTAAAGTTCAACGCCCTCAAGGCTATACACCTTGCTTTCAAACTTGAGAGCGACGGACGAACGAGGGAAGTGTTAAGTCCACCCCTAGTAGCCGTGCCGTACTCGTGACACAAATCGCACTTGACTTGATTTTATCGAATATTCGTTACCATAAAAAATTACCCTTTGTTCGCGCAAAGTAGATTCGCAGAGTCCAACAACGCGAAGCCTTCCAGCGAGTGTCTCTAAAAAATTCAGTGGATTGATCGAACGACGAAATTAACTCAAATTGTTGTTCAATGTCGAGCATCGAGCGCTTTTGCGCAAAGTTGCAATTTCTTCCATAATTTATGTTATTCGAGGCTACAGGCGTACCTCAGGATCGAAGCTGCGAAGCAATCATTCGCGACAAAGTGGAATTATAAATCAAATAGCTTGTGCCAAATACGCAAGTACGAAAATGATTAACGTTAATCACTTACGTTTTAACGGAGGGGAAAAAATGTCGCAATGCGAACGTCGAGAAATGCCTCGAAACGTCGCCGTTATGTAAGCATGGAAGCAAGAATAGAAACCAGATCGTGCATGATTTACGGTGCGACCCGACGTCTCCGCGAGGCACGACGATAATATTCCGCCGTATCCGCTCGGTCATAATAGCCACGAAGCCACGAAGCCACGAAAGCCCCGGAACTCTCGCGAGTTTGATCACGCGAGAACGCCACCCTCTGCGCTCTGCCGCCCACCACAAGGCGCCTTATTGTTATCGTTCCGTAGGAACAACAGCGAGTTTTCGGCGTAGAGGGCTCGCGTTACCAGCAAGCCAAGTCGCAGAAACCGGAACACCATCGCCACCGGCCCAGCGACCGTCGCGACGGCCAGAAGGAGCTCGTCAGCCATTACGGCTCGCCGGCTGAAGAACGCGAGGGCGAGACTTCCGGTTACGCGAGCGACTCCGTGGATGTACCCCCGCAGGGGCAGAGTGAGTCCTGCTGAATGTTGAAATTTAGGGTATTTCACGGCCCTGAGTAAATTTGCTCAAGTACGAAATTCGTTAATTTTGCCCGAGATGACGGCTCTGCGACACCCTGTAAATCTCTTAATTATCAAATTTCGTCGGCGTTAATGAAGCTCTCGCGCTCCGTTCAAGCCTCTTGCATGTTCAAGGAGCCTTAGTCGGCGGTAAAGTGGCCAGGATGGAGATGGCGGAGAAGACGTGGCAGAATCCTTACTGCACCACGCCGGAGAGTTCACTGCCACCCTCGAGGAGGCTTTCGCCCGGCAGAATGGGAGAGCTCAACAGGCCGCGGTGGGGCAGCGTCTGGGGTCAAGAAGCGGCGAGAGGCGATCCACCGCCGCCACCCTCGTGGTTATCAAGATTAGGACAATCGAGCCAAGTAATGTCTGCCAGGGACTTGTTGAACGTCCTCGAAACCGTATCGTACCCGAAAAGCATTCTCTTCGTCTGTCTCTCACAGTCGCATCTAGTTCTTGTTCCTTCTTTCATGACCACAAATCTTTCATGATCAATAATAAATTTCATAAGCGGAAGAAATGTCATTAGCAAATATAATGTAATTATAATCAGCACTTGTAGCCTCTGTCTTCGAAACGATGACGGAGCGATTTGAAACGCGAGTGAAATTTATATCGCCGGCTGTTTCCTGTCGAGGTTTTGGTGATCAATCACGATAGCGCCAGCAGTCCGGACAGTTCAACGACCGGATCGACCGGCTCCGACAATAACAAGACGTATCTCCGCGGTCAGAATATCCCGGTAGACGCGGACATTCTTCAGGAACGCGAGGCAAGGCGACAGAAAGCGCTGGAGCTGCAGAACGCGATCAAGCAGCAGCTCGAGGAGAAGGACAGGCAGAGGAAAGAGGAGAAAGAGCGACGGATGAGAGAGGAGAGATTGGAGGAAGAGCGAATCAGGCGAGAACGGGAAAAGGAAAAGGAGAGGCAAGTTTTAGTTAAATTTCCGACAGAAATCCTAAAGATTACATAGTGATAAAACATACACGCTATCCACCGCAGATTCGAGGAAGAACAGCGGCTGATGCGCGAGAAGGAAGTCGCGAAGCTGAAGAAGGCTCAAGCGATGTGCGAAGTGCTGGAGGCCGCGGAACGTTTGGCCCGGGAGAAGAAGAAGAATTGCCGAAGACGGAAAGACCACATAGATGAGGACACGGACGCGACGCAGGCGTCGTCCTCCGTCGACTCGAACGCGACCGTGAACGCAGAGAAACGTGAGCAGGATTGTCCGCAGACTCAGACGCGAGTCGCAAATTCGATCGCCGGCTACCTCGAGGACGAAAAGTCGTCCAACAGTCTGAAAGACATGAAGGAGACGGAGAATCATTCTCGCGAGAATGAGAACAACAGAGACGACATGAGGCAGCCAAAGCTAAATGATGGGCACGTAAGCAAGCCGGAAGAGATCGCGCTGGACCTGCGAGGATCTCTTCAGGTGCCCGTGAGCAAGGACGTGGCGATCGTGTTGAGCGGTAGACTCGACGATCCGGAGATCTTGAGCAGAGCGAACCTGCAGCTGGTGAACCTGGTGATGAGTCCGAGTCCGCACCGTTTCGACAACGCTGCCAAGGGCCTCTCGTTGGGGTTGAACGCCATCATGAGAAACAACGTAGCCACGACGACGTTGAGCCCGAAGAATCCGAGGCGTTGCCCTTCCCGATCAGAGTCCGCGTCGATCGTCGTGGAGAACAGGTTGTTGACGCCGAGCAAGTACCGCGTCCAGGCCGGACGAGACTTTGGCACGCAGACGGACGCAGAGTCCGACGTGCAAGAGCTGCGCGATAAGCTGCAGGACTCGTCGATCAGAGAGCACGGCGACATCACCAAGGACAGGAAGGACACGACCAACGCCAGCCGAAGAAACGTTGAAAAGTGAGTCGCCAGCGCGCAGATTCCTGTTACGTTCCCATTGGCTTCTTTTAAAGAGGCCGTACAACGAGCGTGTTCTCTTCTTCCCTGCATGCGGTATCTGCCTGGTAATTATCCCCTTTATTTTATAGCGTAGTTTGACGATAAGAGACTGAGTAACTGATCGTAAAGACGCTTTCTCGCGAAATGTCTGTCTGTCGGTTGGTCGGCCAATCGATCCGCGCGTCTCTGTCGAGGGAATCGTCCAGTAAGTGTGTGTGTATGTGTGTGTGTGTGTGTGCGTGTGCGAGTATGTTCTCGATTATGCTTCGACAGAATGTCGAGTGCTCTTCAGCTTTGTTCGCTTTTTACTTACGACGTTGCTTGATGATATATCGAGTTTTCGTTCAGGTTCCGTTCGAGCTTGCCGCTTGCCGTCTTGACAGTCGACGAAGCTTCAATTTCTTATGATTTACTTCACGTTTAAACAATTTGTTATCACTTGGCCTGGCCCGTTACGACGATTTCACGTGCTTGAGCTGTTTCTTCCTTCTTCGAAACGCTACAGCACCGTGTTGTGATCATTCGAAGGTCGATCAACGTGGGACCGGGCGAGGAAGTCGGCATGAAGGCAATTCCACGGTCCAAGTCTCAGCCGAGAACCACGCTCGACGCTAGACCACGATGGAACGCCAATCGGTAATGTCAAAAAGCGATTAACACACACTTGACACCCGAGTTATTCTTAAAATCAGACCGAAGACCATGTCGACGCGAACCGAAAAATGACTAAAGGTACACTCTTAGCCCAGGTACGCGATATCGCACGCAAAGCGAGAAGGATCCGCACTATCAGAGACGATTGCGGCTCAGAAGACGACGAGTAGAGTCGAGCGACGAAGGATCCAGGTGAGCAAAGTTCCGGGCAAAGACGCGTTGAACTATCGGTGGCTCCAGTCAGACAAAACCTTGCAACTTTTTTTACAACAGCGAAAGGATATTCACAATTATGAGATGAGAGACCGAATCTTTTCGTTATCACACGAGCAGGTCGCCATCCCTGGATCGGCGGAAATCCAACACCTGCAAGTCCAAGAGTCGAAATGCGCTTAGACGCAAAGCCAAACTCGAGAGCTACGACGCCGATCTGTCGATGGATAGCCTCAACTCTGTCGTGCCGCTGCGGATCGACAAGAACGGCAGGATCAACATCGAAGATTGTCGTCGGCTAGATCGCGCCGAGAAAGCGCGGCCGACGGACAACGAACGACGCGGCGAAGCGAAACGGTCGGATAACGATAATTCCAATGTCTGGTGCGGCCAGGAAATCTTGTCCAAACTGTCGTCGTTGAAGAGCGTAAGTGACGGGCCAGCCTTACTTTTATGCAAAAGTAAAATTGCAATTACAAGTCTAATGTACATGGCGGTACTTTGAATGTGAGGCGAAAAAACGGAATCTTACATCTCTTGGCTCCTCGAGATCAATTTTTATCAATTCAATTGTATCAATTCAAAACAATTTATAACAGCGATATAATATTATAAATTATAGATCAATTACTCGGCGGTGTTTCGATATGAAACCTCAAGATACGTCCGTATCTTTTTTCAGGGACTGCTGATGAAGCAGCTCGAGTGGGACTCTGAGCGATGTCTGGTCTCGCCCGCTGCGTCTGAAATCTTTTGAGTGCCGGGAGAATAAGAAACGTTGCTGTCTTTTAGTTTTTCTGTTTGTTTGCGTGGAAAGTGAAATCGAGTTAGAATGTGCGATGGGGGCTTTTTACCGTGAAACACCGTTTACTCGTTCCACGAGGATCCTGCGGGGAGCCAGTTGAACAACTCAAACGCCCTTTTCTCTCTCTCGCGTTGCAGATCTAGATAATGGCCTTCCAACTGGACGATCTGCTGAAGGACGACAAGAAAGACGCGAACCTAATACCCGACTTGAGCAAGGCGACCTGTAACTCTTACGAGGAATACCGGCGACTCAAGGAGCACTGTCCAGAGTTCAAGATCAAACCGGAAAAGGTTCGAGTATTCCAGCGATAATGTACAGCTTTATAAAGCAGAATGCAGAATCGATGTGGTAATGAGAGGAAATTGCGCAAAGGTAAAAAGAGAGGACGCAAAGGTTCGAGATAAGGAGTTCTCTTGGAGGGCCACCAAGAAGGAACTCAAAGCCAGGGAATGGGCGTATGGCGACCCGGTGCCACCGGACATGAGGGAGTTGGATCTGCAAGAGTTGCAGCAGGTCGCCATCGACTGGCGAATGCTGACCCCGATCAGGCCAAAGCTTCGTCAGGATGAAGAAATGTTCTCGAGGCTGGTAATTAATAATATATAAACTACGACGATATCAAATAATGTCTTAAATGCACATCAAAAATGCAGGACCTTCATGGGTTCAAGGTGGAGATGGGCAAATTGGAGGCAAAGACCATGATGAAGGAGCGCCGTTCACCAACAAGCCCCATCAGACGGAGCAAAAATCGCGCCGGCATAATCGAGAGCAGCGTAAAGACCTGCCGGGAATGCGGCGAGGAGTATTGCTTCGGCGAATTTTGCGGAGATGTTCTCTATGACTCCTTCGTGAGGGTGACGATCGCCACTCAGCAGCCGAAGATTAAGGTGTCTGCCGATACCGAGGCCATAATCGCAAACATGGATCGCAAGAAGAAGCGGAAAAAAACGAGGAAGAAGAGGGTTAAGAGCAAGAGCAGGGCGTCCAGAAAATCCGCTCGACTCTTAGTTAACGGCAAGGCGAGGAAATCGATAAGCGACCTCGAGGCCAAGAGCATCAAAGCGTCCAGAGCTCAGGACGCCGGTGAGCAAAGTGAAAAGCCGGCGAAGCAGTTCAAAAGGAAATGCAGTAAATACACGAAGAAGGGTCTTTTGCGTAAGTGATCGCAATTGCGGGAAGCTCAGAAAAATTACACATCATTTAAAAAGCTTTAGGAATGTACATTTGTACAACGTCTAATATCTTGATAATGGACATGAAGGTATCCTGAGTAGATTAAAAATATGTAAGAGTCGCAAGTACGAGTGCTCTTCGGGTATTATAATATAGGATACGATTGAAAAGGCATGACGCACGAAAAGTGAATACGATCAATCGACAAATAAACGGGAAAACAAATTCGCAGTCTTTTGCATTTTATTAACTGTGTGTCGGCAAATATTATATATACTCTGTAGTCCCTCGACACGACAAGCGTTAATACTCTCTCCCTCTCTCTCTCTCTCTCTCTCTCTCTCTCTCTCTCGTCTCTGAAGCGTTTTTTGCGCAAAAGAAAACATAATGCATCGTTCTTCCAACAAACAACAGAACACGCTGGGTAAATATGCACAAGTGTATGTACAAATCGTCACGATGGAATACCAGGCAGGCGCATTGAATGCTCCCAATTAAATGCTGGAAAAATATAACTTTTATTCAGTTTGTCTCTCTCTCTCTCTCTCTCTCTCTCTCTCTCTCTCTCTCTCTCTCTCTCTCTCTCTCTCTCTCTCTCTCTCTCTCTCTCTCTCTCCCGCTCTCTTTCCCTCTCTCTCCCCCCCCTCTCTCTCTTCTTTTCTTTATTTCTTTCTTTGCTTCTGTCTTTTTTTCCGTCTCAAGACTCATTTTCATTGCTCGTACACATTTATTTTTTTCAATCTTTTTCTTTCCATAAATATCACAACCGAAAAGCATTTTCGCGGTCGCGAGAAATGTTCTGTCGCCATCTCTTTGTACGAGATAAGAGTGCGAAAATATATATTTATGTATACATATATATATGTATGTATGTATATATATATATCTCTCTTGCGTTTCTCACAAATATAGAATATATCTCGAATAGTATAATATATCGCGCGATTTTCCTAATTTTTCCACGGGAATCGTGTGTTAATAGTACAACATTGTTTGCGCGATTCACGAAAACAGAATATTTCTCGTCAATTATATAGCTCCCCGTCTCATTCTCAGTTTCGCTTTTTCGCTCGCGCGCTCAGCGCTGACGCTTGCATAAACTAACGATAAAATTTAAGTTAATCGAGATATACACGCGTTTTACATGACGCAGGTATATATATATCATATATGTATAATATCTATATATATATATATATATATATAGTGAAATTTTTTTTAATATTAATTTGTCACTCGTTGTGTCGTGGTCGCGACAAAAACTCTCGGTGAATAAAATAAATTACGTATGTAACTCTATATGTCATATATATAAATATCCTATTTCGACACTGCCACGCGCGCGCGTGTCGCGCTTTTACTTATCTTTCTCCTTTTCTTTCTCTCTCCCTCCCTCTTTCTCTCTTTTATCTTATCTCTACGTTACTTTGAAGTCGATACTTTGAATGCGATCAGAGCGCTCGTGTTTGACGTGTAGTCATGAAGCCAAGAGCCGCGTCGAGTCGCGGCTACGAAGTAGGCCATCGTGAATCGCGCTTGTCCTCGTTATTTCGATGTGCAAATCGAAGTAGAATCTACGAAACGCAAGCGCGAAGACCGCGCATCATTAACAACCGAATCTACAGAAATCACGTGTGTATCGGCGGTAGATGCGGTGTCGTGCATTTTGAAAAAAAAAATCGGGAACGATCAAACTGCGGGTCCGCCGTCGGAGGAAGTCGTCTGTCTTTCACCGGAACTGATCGCGTCGCGAAATTTGACTTGCGCATCACTTTCAAGATCAACTCGCTCATGGATACGCGTATACATGTGCACGCACGCACGCACATACACACACACACACACACACGCGCGCGCGCGCACGCACGCACGCACGCACGACACATACTTATCCACATATATACCTATGTAGTTCGTTGGACGCTGATCGATTTTTCAGATATCTCTTTGAAATACAATCGACGAGAGAAGACGCACCGGACGATCTCCACCGTCATGGAGACTGTCCGCCGACGATATGAAACGTAAAACGCAATTGCACACATACACACTCAACAGAGGGGCAACACTGCTCGCGTTAACATACATATGTACAGTGGCAATAATACTTGCTCGCGGCAATTATACTTAGTTCGCCTTTACGCTTCTCGTTCCCGATCGATTTTCCTGGGAGAATCTCGCCGAGAGACGATGAGGCTTCTCTCCCTCTCCCCGTTTCGAGAGAGAAAGAGAGAGAGAGAGAGAGAGAGAGAGAGAGAGAGAGAACCTCGCGACGGCGACGAGCGTGTCCCCGTCATACGACCGGGCTCGAGATCACGAAGATACACGTGTCCGCCAGACGCGACTACGCTTCGCCACGTATCCGCGACGCAGGCAAGCGCGGTGCGGCTTTGGGAACTCGTTAGAAAAATACACCGACTTGCACGGTGCCTCTCCATAATCGTCGGATTATGCTTCTCTTGGCTTTCCTCCGCCCTTCCTCGCGTGAGCGTTAAGTACTCGGCTAACTGGCCCGACTGGAACCAACGCGGATCGGGTCCACGTATCATTGCGAGCGGTATTGAATCGCTTCAGGGCTGTGTTGTCAGTATTGAAAAATTGAAAATTCACGCGTGCTCTCGCATATCTTGATCGATCGGACATTCTGAGAATGCCCGCGCGACACCGAGCGATTTTTAACATGTTGACTGCCGTGGGAGAGAGAGAGAGACTCGGCCTGACCCCGATGAGATAAATACGCGTCATGAAGATATCATTTGATCGTATTACGCAATATCTAGCCAAAACACGCCTCGCGCTAGCGAGAATCTCCAGCTGCGCTCTGCGTCAGAGACACGCAAGCCACTCGTCGGGCAGTCGACGTGTTAACACGCAGTCGTCGAGGCTGACCCGTCACCCGTTTGTATTCGCTGACGGACACACGATGCTTTGGGATTTTGCTTTCATTTCAGTTCGATACTGCTCGCAATATCTCTCACCTTGGCGGTGCGCGGCATCGCCTTCGCATATATTCCGTTCCCCTTCGATCGACGCGCGCACAGGCGACGACTCTCGAGGTAATACGATATTACAGAGGTGTAATAGAGAAAAACAAGTACGAGCAAGATGGCCACACAGTCGCGGCTATCGCGCGAATTAAACTAGCTACTCGGGTAATTGCTGGATTAGCGCTAACTACCGTTAAATCGACGTCGCCCGGTGATCATGAGTAACGGAGCCACGTAGTACCGCGCACAAAGACAGAGGATGTCACAAGCCATGTGTGCCGATAAGAGGAAATTTTCCACACAGTCCACGCAGTGACTCGATCGATCATAAAAGAATACACGGGATAGCCATAAATAGCATCGCTAAATCTCTCTTCCTCTCTGTCTCCCTTTCGCTTGTCCGCTCTCGCGGTATCCACGAATTATTGTATGAAATTCAGCTTCGGACGTGATGCAGAGGAAACGATACTTTTTGGCACGCGAACGATACATGCACACACACACACACACACACACGGTCGACAGAAGCGATTCGATCTCGCGGGTTTACACAATTCAAGCTCTCAGTGTTCTGTTGGTAAGCTCTCCTCGCGATTCCCTCTTACGCGATTAGCGCACGACGGATCCCCGCGCGAAAGTATGTGTAACGTCTAGAGCTTCTTGTCTTGCTGTACATCTGCTGTGATCTTGTGTGAATGTATTATGAGTGTGCATGTACGTATATATACATGTTTGTATGTGTGTTTGTCTCCTTGTTTATTCGTTCGTGTACGCGTGTACTTTTGCGTGTGTAAATACATTAAGGTTCAATATACAAAATATCAATGGCTTTTCGAACAAGATGTAGGTACTTCTCTAAGATTATTCTCCGTACATAGAAGCTAAGAGTGATTTAGCGTTCGTTTGCAACATTCAAGTAATGCTCAGGTATACAGTACGCTTATCACAATATTGTCATACATCTCAGGTGATCTCACTCTCTCCCACTCACTCGCTCGCTCTCTTTCCCGTTCTGTCTTTCTCTCTCTTTTCCTTATTTAAAATTCTTCTCCTTCGCACTTAAAATTATCCGTACAATAACATATTATACACGTTAACAGGTATATATATATACATATACATATGTATATATATGTATACACATATAGCTCTTAGTGTGTAAATTATTTAGAATGAGCGTTGTCACAACGTGTATTCTACAACGACAGTATAATCTGTTCACTCACATCTAATCGTCCACGTGAGTGTAACTTGTTTCTTTTTCTTTTTTACATTTTAATATTTTCTCTTTATATCTCTTTCTCTACATCTCTTTCTTTCTCTGTGACAAAATATAAACTACGATACTTTGATGGAAATGTAAAATTTCGATTATCTGCGATGTACACCCGATGTATGCGCAACACTCTTGTGCAGCGTTTTCTTGGCTTTTACGGAGTTCAATATCTACGCAAACAACGCAAAATATCGGCAGCACACTTTGACAGCAACATTACCGAAGTATGTACACATAATACGCAAGATCCTCGCTTTTAATGCACGATTAAAATGTCGAGCCGTTATCTGTTGTACGTGGCAGATGAGAAATGAACGGTTGAATTATTTACGTGAGAACGTATCGCAAGATTATCGCAAGCGTATAGTCTTGCTGCAGATTTAATAATTTCGGTTTGAAAATGCCCGACGCAACTATGTGTAAAATTCAGTTGCACGCAACAAGTTATATACAAAAATATAATTTCAATCGTCCTTTTGTTATTCTCTTTTCTGCCTCTACGCTCGTCTGCGAAAGAAAAGCTGAAGTTACATCTACTGTTCTCTGTAATGGTGGTAAGTGTATAATCGTTATGGCAATAATATTTTCCTCGTCTTGATCGTAGCGTATGACTATGACAATGTGGAAAAAGATGTGTATTTGTATATTGGCAATTCGAACAATCGCAAGTATGTGAAAGCCAACATGTCCAGTACTCAATCACGCTTGCAAGCGTAAAATCGTCACGATGTACAAGAGTGAAACAAAAAGAAAAAAAAAAACAGATTTAATAATAAAATTAGTGGTGCTTCTCTGTAACGTTACTTGCAACAATTATTTGTGTACACAACGTTGCGCAAAGGTAAAAGTACGAAATATCTTCATCTGCTTCAATTGTCAGCAAATTTCCTCTCTTCACAAACAACATCGTTAACGTTAAACCTAACGAATTGTTTTTCATAAGATCGTCATAATTTCTCGCCAATTATCGCAGGATATATCTCTTGTAATTCTCGTTTCTTAAATTACGACTTTTATATTGTTGCACCCAAGACCGTCTCACGTCTCGCGCAAGGTCTTACAGATAACTGCAATGTGGCTGCATGACAAACTGTCTCATTGTGAGCACAGATTGCACATTCGAGCCGATGGCCCTTATCAATGATTAATAACGAGAACCGTCGTGATCGTTTTCTGACACAACAGCCGCAGGCGCAAGAGTATACACACGTACCATTGTCCCGTTGCACAAACGTGCATCGACACAAATCGGGATCTACCTTGGTTCACTCATCGACGTTATCACATTTGCGTCGCGCAACTTTCAGCATCTCGTCGATATTCCGCGTCTTACTGAGGCGACGAGTTTTGTCGTCGGTTCGCACCATTTCATTATCCGTACCAATCCGTTTGAGACTTATATTACTGATGTACCCGATGCGAACGTTAAACTCCGTGAATACGTTAAACATTGTCAAGAATGAATCGAGTTCTCACGCGTTCGAAGCAGAAAATAATCCGTCGCTCATCTACTAATTACACGTAGAAAAATATGACATTTCATGAGGAAGCGACTATGTACATCAGCAATATACGTTCATCATTCTCGAGGGATTGTCCTGCGTAAAATTTGTATATCACTCTGAGATACGAGACATGTACTTTCTGAGTTTTGGCCGTCAACCGTTCGATACGCATATGAATGCGACGCGAAGTATCGATGAGCAGATTAAAACCGATTGTTTAAGTAACAACAATGACAATACGCACCAAATTTCCGTTGCATTATGCTTATTACTTAATGCAAAGAGAATCGTATTACGACTGTACAAAGTATATATCCCTTACAAGATTACTCAACAAAAATAAAAAAAAAAAGAAAACATAAATGGTATAAGTACCATTCCTAACAATTACGACATTTTTTTCTCTTAAATACAGATCCACCACATAGAACTATAATTGTACAAACGACATAATAATAAGCTATTATGGACATGTGTAGAAAGGTGCCTAAGAAACGTAATTTTATGTATATACGTAATTTTATGTATATACATAATTTTTATGTATATACGTAATTTTATGTATATACGTAATTTTATGTGTATACGTTTACAAGAATTATCCGTTATCTAGAACCACGATGACTCATTGCCACTTTCTCATTAAATGCAAGGCAGCTGACTGATGTACTAAGGGAAAACAATAAAACCATATAAAAGAGTTTCCGATCCTACATGCCACTCTTCTTCCTCTCGCGCGATCGAAGTCACGAAGATAACTAAGAAATTATAATCGATCGAACAATCTAGTCCAATTGGCATTATGTACAGGGGGGAAAAGGAACGATTCAATCAGGCGGTCGATTAGAGTAAGTCACTTGAAACACACCTGACTTGTTGTCGAAAGCGACAAACGTCCTTCGGACCGAGCAGAATTCTCGCACCGTTGCTCTTTGCAAGGAACAACGTTGACTGTGTTGCAAGTAATCGTCCTCAGTTATCCTTGCGAGCCTTCTTTTTGCTCTTCTTCTGAGGCTTCGCTTCTGTCCAGACGTCTGGAAGACACAGTGATACGTGGAGAAAGCATGTTATTAACTAAAGCAATATTTATTTCGGAGGAAAAATATGGCTCCTCCGAATGTCCATGTTGATACACGAAATTACCTCCTAACTCGTCGAACACGGCGGTTTTTTCTTGCACCACCTTATTTTCCTCCGCATTGTTTTCGGCTACTTTCTCCACATTATTAATGGCTTTTTCTTGCGGCTCTTCCGCGGCAGATTTAATGTCGGACTTGGGTGTGGATGGCACCGAAGCGGGTGTGTTCTCGCCCTCGGATACTTTCTTATTTTTCTTTGACTTTCCAGCCTTTTTCTCTTCTTTCTCAACTTTCTCGATCTTTTCAACCTGCTGCGTATAATGTCCGATATTTACAGATTTACAGGCGATTGCAAACTACAAAGTACTAAAACACGAATTACGTTAAATATAAGTGTACCTCTGTGATTTGCTCTTCCTTCTCAAGTTCCTTTTCTTTGCCTATTTCTTCGTCAGAGATAGGTGTAAGAATCACTTCCTTCTCCTCTTTGAGTTCCTTGTTCTCAGCTTCCTTGAGATCCTTGATTTCGAGCTTTTCTTGCTCTTTCTGTTTGGCTTCGTTTATCAAATCAGCCTTCTTAGGGGTCTTTTTGCTCTTCTTTGATGGAGTTTCCTCTTCCTTCTTCTTATTCTTCTTATCCTTACGTGAGTAAGCTTGTTCCCAGTCTCCTATTGGTAATGGCAATATTAACAGCAATGAATAGTCTGAAGCAATTATGTGCAGAGAAGAAATCTTATTATTACTTAGAATACTTAGTAGAATAGTAAATATTCTACTTAGTAGAATATTTTATCTAAATATCTATTTAATAAAATATCTATCTAATAGATTATTCGAAACAAATCTTTATCTCACAATCTGTATTAGCTCATCTCTGCTCATTGGCGCGAGCGACTAGGCACACTAGTATCCAGAAAACTTTTCTTTTATGACATGATAAGGTAAAAAAATATGGGAGGGTAAAAAGACACAAACAAAACTGAAAGAAGAGTAAAACGCGAAGCAAAAATTGCCTCAAGACTATTTAATCGGCAAACTATCGCAAAACTAATTGAACAAGATATCAAAGTTAGATATCAAAGTATAACTATCAACATTCTCGATCCGAACGAGTCTGGATTGGATCCAATTTTCGACGAACTGCTGTAATTGGCAGAGAATTTCAGTACAAATCACAACCTATGACATTAATGGCTGGTACAAGCCAAATCTGCTTTGGTCGCAAACAATACATGTTAAAATAACTCACCATCATCAAAGTCCGCTGGTCTTTCTTGGAACAAGTTCTTCAAATTTTTCTTATTCTTCACCTGCTCGATCTTGTTTTCTTTGCCAGCCTTAACTGAAACCTGTTCCTTCTCCTTCTTAATTGTCGCAGTCTTGTTATCCTCTTGCTTACGTTCCATTAACTTTCCATCAATGTCGTCTTTTGCGACGGTAGTCTTCTTCGGAGCTTCTGCCTTTGCAACTACAGTTTTCTTGGCTGGGCTTGTTTTCTCGGTCGTAACCTGTCCATTAGCAGTCTTCTGCAACAAAATATATAAGCCATTCCACTTTCAATTATATCACTCAATAGTTAAGTATAATAGATTTTATCAGGCAAGAAATGAATGTTGAATATTGAATATTGAGTGAAATTTATAAATTATGCATTATACTCTTATTGTTCCAATCAAGTTAGATTGTAGAGAACTTTTCTGAAACTTTTCTTACACTCTCATTGTGCCATTTTCCTTACAATCTCACTGGAAAGATAATCTGGTTTTCTCGACAAAAAATATCCACATATGCTTCGATATACATTTGTCTGTATAAGTTGTTTTCGTAAAATATTTCATTGTTTTGTAACAAATTTCCAAAGAATCATTGCTCTCGACACCATTGACCTGATGTAACTCCTCAAGTTTTAACTTCTTTTTGTACATTTGAGATTAAATATAGCCTAATTCTATGTCTTATCGGTTCACAGTGCAATATGATAATTAAGTTTATGCCCTTTAACTGTATTTGTAAGCACTATCCATGATGGTAGTGAAAGGCGTATGAAAAAGGAAAAAGGATGGAAAACGAGCACATAAAGTACCGTAGATCTTCGGTCCGTATACCAGCGCTAAAACGTACGTAGTGGAGGCGGACCATTATCGTGAGAACACAAGCATGCCCCAAAAGGCACCGTAATTACTACCACGTTGACAGGTAAAACAAATACTGTTCATGTTGCAGCGTTACGTCACGGCCGCCAAGAAGAAAGAAAGAAGACACCCTCTCGGAGTAGACTTGAACCAGCTGATTAGCGGACGTGTGTGCGTGTGCATAGATTCGCACTCACAAACGAGCCACCATATGGCGGGCTATCACGACGTGTCGGGACAGGGAAAAGGGCGCGGAAAGAGTGAGCGAGTAAACGAGTGAGAGAAAGAGGGAGAGAAAGAGTGCACAGGTGAGAGAGAGAGAAAGAGGGAGAGTAGATGAAAAGAGACATGCGTTGAACCTTTCACCCTGCTAACACTTAACTAACCTTGACGCGCTTCTTGGGGAGCTTCCGGTTCACGACGGAGCCCGCGGAGAGCTTGGCGAACGGCGGTTGCTCGGCATTCTTGAAGCCGAAGAAAAACACGAGAATGACGTAGGCGATCACGATGCCCACGAAGATCGCTTCTTGGGAGACGCTCTGCAGAACGTCCATGGCGATGGGGACGTGATTCGCGCAAAATGAGGACGTGTGTCCGTTAACGGCCGGGTCGTTTCGTACCGCTTACGTCGACAGCGGACTACACGCGGACAATGACGACAGCAACGACGACGACGACAGTACTCGACGACGATGAACCAGGTGGCTGACGCGACGCGGCGCGCGAACGGTTCGACCAGCGACACTCAGCGCATCACTGCGCGCCCTGGTGATCGCGCGGTTAACTAACCGCTGCCAGGCGGGCGCCCGCCGACGCTGACGCGGCTGTGACGCGTATCGCGGCTACCTTCAGACTGTTGCGCCGGCGGCAACTTCACGCTAGTGACACGAATGTTTTCCCTGTAATTTGAATAAAATGTGCATATTGAGGACTTTAAATATATATTATATACATGTCTTTTCCACGACGAGCTCGTGCGTTTGAACGCGCTCAACGATCATGTATCATTGAATCTCGAATATTGCTTTAATTATATTAGAAAAATCGTTTCTTTCACGTTGAAAAGTTGAACGATAGTTTGATGTGTGTGTGTGTGTGTGTGTGTGTGTATGATCTCTTTTCGAATAAATGTGAGAAGAAAATAATTTGAATTAAATTACACATGCAGTAAAGTCTTTTAGGATTTCACGATTAAAGCTCGTACAATTTCCGATCAAATGTTTTAACCAATACTAGATTGAAACTCTCGAGGAAATCTTTCACGGAAGAATTATATGTTCTATCGCGAATTCTCTCGCACATCTTCGTTAAGAAACCATAAATTTCCTTTCTTATCCAAAGGAAGGCAGCGATATGCAACGTAATTACAAAGTTCAGTGGTAGATGCCACCGTCGACTCCACCAAAATGAAACGTCATATTTTGCGGTTATGTTTATAATCCGAAGCGTGTACGTAGCACGTTCCTGGGAACGTTGTCTGCCGTTTGAACTTTATGTAACTACGCATGGTCAAGCGTGATTGATTATTGACGGTTATATGAAAAGTATACGTGACCTCGCACATACTATTGTTCGGTTGGGCAAGCTTCAGTTACCGTAATATTGTTTAACGGTCTCCTGTCGTCTATCGCGTGTCTATTTGTCGATGCAATTTTCTAACTGATTTGTCATTCATTTGCACGATGTTGGAGGACGTGAAACACGTGTTGTTGGTTCTTTCGGGAAAAGGCGGTGTCGGCAAATCGACAATCAGCACTCAGCTGGCCCTGGCATTAAAGGAATCCGGTTTTCGCGTGAGTGTGGAGTTCGGAGCTGTTGCGCCATTGGAGCTACGAAAACTGTCACGCCTGTTTTTTCAGATAACGTATCGATAAATTCTCAGCATTTTCTCTCATTGTTAATGTATTAATGCATATAAAGTACATGTAAATATTTTTTTTTTTAAACATTGGTCAGTTTGCAACTTTTTAATTCTATGTAATCCAAATGTTCACTTTTAATGTTTCACGTTTTATAAGATTAAAAAATGGATTTTTTTTTTACTTCAGTAACCTTTAGCTAATAGATGGCATATACATTCTTAATCTATTGTTTTTTGAAATGTTATGTAACTTACTGTTTTCCGAAAGTAAAATTTGGAACATGGATTGTAAACAATTGCAGGTAGGGATCTTGGATGTTGATCTTTGTGGGCCCAGTGTTCCTTACTTGCTGAACTTGGAGGAAAAAGATGTTCACCAATCTTCTGAAGGGTACACTCTGTTGTTTGGATGATAATATATTGCTAACAAATGATGGTTCATTATAAGTCATGCAGAAATTCTGGGATCAATACAGATGGATACCAGTATTTGCCGATGCAGAACAAAAACTGTCTGTTATGTCAATCGGTTTTCTCTTGAAGAGTCAAAATGACAGTGTAGTCTGGCGTGGTCCTAAGAAAACTAGTATGATCAAACAGTTTCTAACAGATGTAGTATGGCGGGATATCGATTACTTGATCATCGACACACCACCAGGAACTTCTGATGAGCATATTACAGTCATGGAGAATCTAAAGTTAGACTAATTAACTCTCCATATTTGATTGTCTGAAGGACATTAGACAGTCCAGTGCTGATTATCATCTTATACCTAAATATTTATTACTTCATCATTGCAGAAACACAAAGTGTGACGGTGCAATTATAGTAACCACTCCGCAAGCAGTAGCTGTGGACGACGTACTGCGAGAAGTGACGTTTTGCAGGAAAACTGGCATCCATATTGTTGGCATTATCGAGAACATGAGTGGCTTCATCTGCCCGTCGTGTACAGTGAGTATTCTTTCTCTCTTCTTTTAGTTACTATTTAATATATTGTATCAACTAAAAACTTGTTAGAAACATATTAAAACCTCATAAATTTCTCATATGCAGGAATGTACCAATATATTCTCTTCGGGAGGCGGAATAGCTCTCTCAGACATGGTAAAAGTTCCGTTCCTGGCGAAAGTACCTATAGACCCGCAAATCGACAAGCTGGCTGATAAAGGACAAAGCGTGCTGGTAACGTTACCCGACAGTCAGGTCGCGCAGGTGTTTAGGAAGTTGGTCGAAGAGCTCACCAAGAGCAAAGAAGCTTGAAAGCGAGATGCGTACTGCAGCGTACACGATGTATCATTACTCGCTTCTCGTGGTGTCACTGCTAGTTTCCCAAACGCGCAAGCATATTTACCGGCAACTGTATATATTAGGAAACACCTGCTTTTATATTACAATTTGTATTGTACTGTACAATTTGTATTGTACTGTATTGTAAAGACAAGAAAAAATAAACAATGTTTCCTTGTAAAGCAACTGCGTTTACCTTAGGAGAGTACTTAAACACGGAGTAGGAGAGGAGGGCTCACAGACAATCTCGCGATCTATATCCCAAGTATTCCGTTTTATTTGCATCCCCGGCAATATTATTGTTATAGTGAAAATTCGACTTGTACGTATACACCGGGAGTTCAACACTCTGGCCCGGTAGGTCATAGAGAGAGAGACAGCGGCAATGGTACATCGCATTGTACCGTCTATACAACATGTCCTGTCGCTTCTTCAGAATCGCACATAGAATGATACTTATTTGTTTCCCCAGTTCCAGAAACCCTTAACAAAACCACTGACCAAGCCGGCTTGGCCTCTCTTGGCTTGATCGCCCATTTTATGCGACAGATCGGGGAAATCGACCATGTTGAAGGCTAGGTCGAAGAATAGAGGCTTGCAGGGAATGCTGCGCATCGGCGGTGGCAGTTTGTAGACGTTTGGTTGCTTGGTGAGAAGCGCAGGATCCTCTCTGTACTCGGGCAAGCGTTCGTACAAAGGTTTCTTACTCTTGGCGTGCTTATTCGTACCTCCGTCTTCTTCGTGATCCTCGAGAACGCTGTGAGCGTGGGCGGCGTACTGTGCTGCTTCTACGGATGTCTCCAGCTTGTACAAGGCCGCCTTCAAGGCGTCTGGAAGAATATGAGCGTATCTGAGCGCATTTTTCACATGCTGCAGCGATCTCTGATAGAGAGCCATTGCTTCGCGCCAACGATGAAGGTTGGCGAGCGACTGGGCTATATAGTAGCAACGGAAAGCCCTATAGCCCTTGGTCTTTGCCGTCTGTTCCTCCAAGAAATCTGCGTCGTCCTGCAGCTGCGAGATCTCCACGAGATTGTGCAGCGCAGCCTCATACAGCCGCACAATGTCCTGCGGCTTGGCCTTTTCGGATTCCTCCGCTGCGCTCACCAGCGCCAGATTGCGCTCCAAGGTGCGCGACAGCCGGATGTACTGCAGGTAGTTGATCAGGTGCTGCGGTGCCGACCATTTGTCATTACTCTCCCGGTTTTTCAGCTCGTTCTTGAAATGATCGCGCACGGCCGACAGCGCATCCTTGCAGTCGATCAAGTGCGCCTCGAGCAGGTCAATCTTAGCCTGATTAGTGGCCGCTTTCTCCAGTGCTTGATTCAGCCTGGAGTCTGCGATGATCAGACCGGCCGCCCTCGGTGGAACAGTACCGCACGACTTGCCGCGCCACGTTACTTCTTCCATGTTAGCTTGTTTCTCGCGCGTCTGTGCAATCAACGAGTCCAGGCTGGCCATCAGTTCACCGCTCAATTGGCCGCGCATCTGCATGAGATCGTCCATAGCACTGGTGTCCCCGATGTTGTAGGCACAGTACCTGAGACTGGGTGCCAGCTCCTCCACCCGTGCCTTATACATGACCTGCTCTGCTTCTGGCAATGCAGACGCCAGGTTGCCATACACCACCTGCGCCTTCTTCAAGTTTTCCATGGCCTGCTTCCACAGTTGTAGCTCAAACTGCAACGAGCCGTCCATCCAAGCTACATAAGCTTGGGCTTCCAATTTGGTACGTGCGTCGCAATTTACTTTCTGGAAGATTTTTATAGAAGATACAATGATAAATTTAGTCATCTTAAATAATTGACAACAATAGTGTAACTGTTGACTACAAGAGAATATACCTCTATCAAGTCTTGTAATTGCAAGGAATATGCAGCTGCTTTCTTCAGTCTTGATATCAGATGAAACTTTTTCCTTGGCTCTGTGTTAGATTCCTGGCGCAGTTGCATCGCATAACTCCAGGCACGTTCGGCCATTATCAAGGGCACTTGCAAAAATTTGTCCTCGCTGACCATGGCAGGGATGACATCTCTCTTCTTGAAGTGACGTCTGTCACCCTGTGGTACTTTCAGCACCTTTCGCAGTCTTCTGAGTCTTCTCGAGCAGTAACCACGATACCGCTGATAATCACCGTGTCGCAGGCCATGTTGCTGCTGCGCTTCCTTGATTATTTTCAAAACTATATATTTGTTAAGTGTGTCGCTGATCTTACCAGAAATTGCAATTGATAATTCAGACTCTACAAGTCAAAATTTATTCTACATGTTGCAGCAATATTCTATGTTAATCGGTTACATTAATTAATTTGATAATTTAAGAATGTTTATTTCCAACAGATTGTTAGACGATACAACGAGAGGTTAGGCAGCAACATATGGTGCTTGTTAATTCTGTCAAAGTCGCAGGGACGTTTCGCTTTACGAAAGGATACTCTCTAAGGAATACGTTTTCGGCTCCTTCGTTATCACATCATTCTGCATCGTATCCTCTTTCGAAATATCCATCTTCTCCTCGACCACCATCGTGCCTCAACCACGTATTCAAGTCGCATAAAGAAACTCGTTGGAGATGTGCGACGTCTCATGTAACTTCAGCGCCAGCTGAGCTTGACAGTCTTACCCGCTAAGAAAACTCCTGGACATCGGTCACGTAGTTCACGCCCACGTCTCATGGACGGGGAGGCGCTTCGCGAGAACGAAAATCGCCTGAAACTTGCCCCCACGGCCCCTCTCATTCCTCTCTCATTCGTTCTCTCTACGCGAACGCTCATCGGCGTTGATCGGCGCTGGTGCATCGTGTCGAAGTGTCGGGACGAACGAGCACAGAGCGGCGGTATCAAGTCGAGGGCAAATTCGCGAGCCGAAACGTTGTTAGACATGTAGCTAGCCAGAATCGGTCAGGCTTATCTCGTGGCTTTTTAGCATAGAGAACCGGTTCGATTTAGTGACGTTGTAACAAACGAGCCCCCGTTCGTTCCATGACTTCCCCACTCAATCATACGTGAGTAAACGCACTTGGCATCTTATTTTTGCACATACGCACGATGCGGGACACGCTCGACGGGGCTGGTGCCACCGTCTCGAGAGAGATGCTGCGATTCTATTCACGCCAACGAGGATTCCCGACGTACGTTAACGTTGGAATCGTGCACGGAGGGAAACCTCGCATGTTACACACAGGACCGACCGTCTCCGCGCTTCCCCTTCCTGCTGCTCTTATCAACCGATTACCGTAGCAGATGTCTCATGGTTTTAGGTTAGCAGAAAATGACAGTATTAGAAACAGAGGAAGACGCAGATAAACGCTCGGTTCCTCCTAGAAAGAAGTTCTGCCTGTCCCTGTCGGGTCGCGGACGTGTGATTACCAACGTCGCCCCGCAGCCCCCTCGTTCATCTGCGAGAGGGGGCCTCCTGGATACACCAGACTTTACATTCAGTATATACATTTATTTCCCTCGGCACATTTTGTTGCATTGTGTTTATGATTGGTGCGACTAAGTAACGATAATATGTATGTACCGATATTACATGGTCATTTTGTTTATACAAGGTACAAGCAAGATGTTGAATGGCTACCGCAGTCAGCTGAGCAACCATCAGGATGGAAATTATGACATGTCTGGTGGTAGCAATACAGAAGGCTTGAAGATAGCCACTCTATGCAATCTAGGAAATACTTGCTTCCTCAACAGTGTATTATATACTTTAAGATTCGCGCCTTCTTTCCTGCACAATTTGCATCATTTAGCTACTGATTTATCTAACTTGAATGACAAGCAATTACAAGCAAAAGTAAGTGTGCTGCACATATTATTTTTGCCTGAAAGGAGAACAATATTGCTAAATGGTATTTTTCAAAATAAATTCCACTTTCTCGTAGGCCAAATCCTCTTCGTTAGGTAGAACCGGTGTATCATTAACGTCGAGCAGCAGTCGTAGTTGGAGCAGTAAAGATCTGTTAGCACTAGCTGGACCAACAGGGGAAGCCAACAAGCCTCGTATTCAGATAGCCACTGAAAAGTTGCACGAGCTCTTTATGGCACTGCGAGCATCGGAGGCGCGGGAAAATAGTGAACCTTATCAGCCAGATGCCTTTTTGCAAGCTCTTAGGTACGTACGTCGCTGTCGAAGGAGATGCGGATTTGTCGCGTATATTTAAATTATTTATATTGTCAATCACAGGGAAGTAAACCCAATATTCGAAGGAAATCAACAGCAGGATGCTCACGAACTTTTGGTCTGCTTACTCGACAACATTAGAGAGACCTTCCAGTTATTAGTTAGACATAGAGAGAGCCAATTTGGTCAGAGCAACGGTGGCATTCCCGACTTTACTCCGGACCAGTCGACGGATACACAGTCAGAGAGCAGCAGTACTGGTAAGAGAAGCATTCGTAAGTCAAGGAAGAAGAAGAAGATTATGACCAGGGGCAGCTCGGTGTCTCTCGCACAGCCGAGCGTAAACGGCGTCGCGACATCCGCGATGAGACCGTACGAGAACGGTCTCCACTTGGAGTTTGCTGAGAGTAACGGCGAGATAGGCACGCGCAAGCTGGAAAGTAAAAAATGTTTTATTTCCGAGGATTTTGAGGGAATTAGTTTGCTGCGGACGACGTGCCTCGAGTGCGAATACGTCACAGAACGGAAAGAAACGTTCTGTGATATTTGCGTACCCATCGACATTGACCGCTCGAACGAGAAAGGTGCGTACTAATACGTTGAATTGTGGCGTTGGTGTTTTGGTGCAACGCATAAAAAGTAAAGGCTAATGACATCTTCTTTCGCAGATGACGACGGCCGCTCGGTGGATAGCAGCGAAGTGTATAAACGTGCTGTAGTAACAAGTGAGCTTCTTTGGGGTAGAGACAAGTACTGGTGCGCACGTTGCCTACGATATAACGAGGCTCGCAGAGCTGTGTGTTTCCCCTCCTTACCGAGACTCCTTATTTTGCAGTTAAAGAGATTTTCCACTGCCGCTGGGTGAGTAATTGTGCAGTATCTGTCCGTGTAATTAGAAACACGAGAGTCAAGAGCAACAGGTCTTGCTTGAGTATCGTACGCGTAAATAATGTTGAGAAAATATAATTCCGAGGTTGTATAAAATATCCGAAATTGCTTTTGCACACACATTCTTTAAATTTATTCTACGAGACTGTCGCGCGTGTGTAACTTCACTTTGGACTTTGTAAATTCACATCGTCGATTAGAAGCTTTCTTCTCGCTTCCGTATCGCGATTATCGAGAACGTGCGCTTTTAGTTCGATGGAGAAGATTAACAATCACATGCCGACGCCGCTCACCTTGCAATGTTTCTGCGAGGAGTGTAGCAACGATCAGACGCGTGGACCAACGACCGGCGGCAGCGGCGGCAGCAGCGGTGGCGGTGGCGGCGCAGAATCTGCGCGACACGTGTACAAATTGTATTCGGTCATAATGCATCAGGGTGCGACGATGACCGCCGGTCACTACGTTGCTTACGCGCGTCTACCGGACGAGTCTGCATATGCGGAATACTACCAGTGTGATCGCGATAACAAGCGGCCGAATTCAGCTCAGAGCACCGCGAGCACGAACTCGTCGTCTTCCACGTCCGATAAGTCGTCGTCGAGTATATTCAAGTACTTTAGGAGTAAGCCCAGCGTGAGCGAGAACAAGGAGCAGGTGGTGAAGGTCGGATGTCGCAGCATGGACTGCTGCGGCATCAGACGCAACAAGCAGGGCGTCACCTGGCTGGAGTGCGATGACGAGGCGGTACACGTGATCCCGTTGCGCGAGCTCGAGGACAAATTGGCGCCCAATCCGCGCAATTCAGCCACCCCCTATCTCCTGTTCTACGTGAGGTCGACGACGTAAGGAGCCGGCTGGCTACCTTGTCGAAAATGTATATCAAAAATGTCTCCTCCCTCCCCCCGACCTCCCTCATCCTTTCGAGACTTGAAGCGATGTAGCAGTATAACTGTAAAACGGACCTCGTTCTTCTCGTTCATTCACACCCCTCTGCTTCGTCGCCGCATTCTCGTTACTTCTCGTCCTTCTGCTCCTCAACAACTGTGCTGTGATGTACCGCACACATTCCAGGTCTGTGTACTTCTTCCTGTGTACGAACGTGCCGCACAAGAGCGATTTAGACGTGCGAGCGTGAGTATAATTTCATAGGAAATAAAAACTCCTTATTGCAAACGACATATGTTATATATTAGATTCCAGACGATTGCATATAAGTGTACGCTACTGTCGGAGAGTTTTAGGCACGCGTGATCTGGGTTTTATTCGTTTTGTGCGGCGGTCGTAAGAAATTTTCTCTGCCTCAGCCAATAATTCACATAGTAATTTATATCGCGTGCTTTAATCATTCTTAAGCACAAGAAGAGACACCTGAGATCAAAATCTGGGAAATCTGATCTGATACATGACGATTGTCAGACTACACATAATCGTAATCGGCTTAGATGAATTATATAAATGTTTGAATGATATTAGAAACAAGTTTTACTTATGTTCTGTAATATATTAAAAATATGTTGATGCTTTATTGGTTCTTTTTTTTTTTTTGTTTTAAGAGAGAATACGTCTTATATATGTACTATAGTATATATTATCTTTTACTTGTACATATATCTTTAATACTCTAAATTGTTATATACATATATTAAGAGTAATATCGAAAATCATGTCAGTTTTATTAAAAAAATTAATGGGAAAAAGGATTGAACAAGTAATGGAAACGAGAACGTTATTAGAACTGAAAACTGCAACAAGAAGAAGTCATAGCCTGACATTATAATATTATGTCATAATTTATCGTTACAATTTATTTTAGAGATAGATTTGAAGCTTTGAAAATTATTTCGCTTTAGTGTTCCTAGATTTTTCGACAGTGGTGGTACGGAAAATAAAAAAGAGAAGTGCGACCTGTAAAGTAACGAAAGAAATAAATACCCTCGGGGATTCGACGTAACGAATCAACAGAAATCAGCGAATGTCGATTCCGCGCTTAGACTACTCTTAGCTTTAGTTGGGACGTGGAACGTTTTATTATTGAGTTATCTGTAAAATAAAAATATTATGTATTCTTGACGCGCTTGTGTTTTTGCTATGTGTTTGTTTGTTGTGTGTGTGTGTGTGTATAACCAAGTCCAGGCTTATCGCGCCGCATCCACACGAGATGGAAGCACCTGACCTGTTTTTAAAGACCACTCGTCGCTATACGCGACTTAATGCCGATGGACGTCATTGCGACGTATCTTGAATATTTCAGAACGCCTTTTATTGCGAATATCCGTTGTCGCTCGAATCCTTGCCGATTGCGACGTTATTAATCGATTACGCGCCGAGAGAGGCAAAGCGATGTCATTTATAACTGGCGCCGCGAGCGCAAATAAAGTTCCTTCGCCGCGTGTGACGCTCGGTCCCTTTCCTAATCAAACAGGGACTCGATGTATAATTGATAAGACAGAGGAACGGAAAGATGTACATTCGCGTAATTGATCGCAAACTTGTCCCCTGCGATTCGATCGAGCCTTCTGCCTCGGGCCAATTTCGATTTAGCGATACGTCGTACGCCGAATACGCACACACACGTTTGATCCTTTGGAATTCGTGCGTGCACGCACTCGCGTTTGCGTTCGCGTTCGCGCGCGCGCGCGTAAGCTGAAATATTTGTTTAGTGTCCGCTCAATCATACGTGGCTACATCCGTATATCGATTATTTCTATAGGGGGTCAGTAGTGGAGTAGTGTTCCACCTGTCAGTCGGACGCGTGTAGTTACTACTACTTTCAGACGTGATACATTCAGTAGTTGGCGTATCTCTTAGGTGGAACACGCTCCTACACGGCTATGCTCTCGCCGGCGCTCCTCGACTAAGGTAAGTGAGTAAAATAACGCGCAGTCTCTCGCGCTGTGTTATTTGGCAGCGGTGTCAAAACTCGGTATTTGAGGACATTCGAGCGAACTCCACGAAAAGATTGAAAGCCGGAGTCGCGATTTCGGGAGGCTTCGCAAGATCGCGAGCGGCGACTTGTAATTTTTCTCATCGAGATATACGAGTCAGCCGCTTGCCTTTAATTAAAATTTACCCTCGGCCGGAGAAACGCAAACTCGTATTTTCCTTCGTCGAATTTCCGTATTCCAACTCTGTGCCTCAAATACTCGCGATCGTTATCTCCAGTTCTGAGTTCTTTAATTAAGTCTTCTTCTTTGTGCGCATAATTTCCGAGTACACAACGTACCCGAGACGCGTTCATCTGTAATTGTTAGACATCGTGTTCTCGTTCCCAATATGGTGAGTAAAGTGCAAGAGGATTACGTTTATATCGATGTGAACACACGCAATTCACACACACAGTCGAAACCACCGGCACGATCTTTGGCTGAAGAGAGACAACAACAGAGAAGAAGAAAAAAAAAACAGCTCGAGACACGCGTACAAGTACCTCTACCCTTCCAGCTTGCAATCTCGCTTGCGTCTCCTCCGCGACACAAAAGTCCTACGAGATTTCGGGTTTTCTCACGGTGTACATTACATTCGCATTCATCGCTCCGCTGAACGAGCATAATCGATACACCCGGCCGTCCGCGGCGAAGTCACCGATAAATGGATGTCACGATGACACGTCTGCGCGCACCCCTTCACAAATACGCGCGTCGCCTTATGCGAAAACACGAGCTTGATTTTCCCCGACGACTCTATCGTCGAATCAATCAACCCAAATACATTCCTCACACGCACATACACACACACACACACACACACACACGTAGTCTTTGCCTCTTTCTCGCGGTATACGTTTTTAAGTAGCCTCGTCGGCGACCTATGGCACAGCGTGCGTCGTGTTCTCGCAGTAGGTCACTTATCACCACGTGTGATCGCCCGCGAGTCGAAGCATCGCTTCGAACATTGTCTCGTGAATGGTACACTTAGCGGGCGCGAAAAGAGAAAATCCACGCGCAAGAATTTTCGAACTCGACCGGATTTTCGATCGATCGGCGATAAGTTTCGCGGGGGATTTGCCGAACTCGCGAGAATCGATCGGCTCGGATCGTGGAAGGGTCTCCCGCGAAATTTTCCGCGTTCGCTCCCCCGCGAACACGCGTCGCGGTATTTTCCAGCCGGGAGCGAATCACACCGGATTGATTCGCACGCGCGACTTACGCTCTTCCGATTGCCATTGCGCCGCTATGTTCATTGCAGGCGTACTCAAGTCATATAAATTATCGTTATGAAGCATCAGCAAATAACTGTAGACATGGTAAACATGGTGTTTACCGCCTGCTCATACTTGGCGCTCGCTGGTGCGGTTTGGATTTTCTTGCGGCTCATTCAGGCCTGCTTCTGGCTGCCGAAGCACTTGAAGAGGCAGAATGACGTTCAGAAGATGTTGCAGGACAAGGTATCTGTCGCAGTTTGAGTTTGCTTCCTTTTTGTCAATCAATGCGCCAGCGAATGCAACGTTGAAGGGAACGATCGATTACCTTGGATTTCTTATCGTTCAGGTGGACAGCTACGAAAAGTACGTGTTGGAGTGCGAGGAGAAGGAAAAGTCCGAGATGCTGGACCAGATCGACGACGAGAAGAAGAGCCTCGAGATGTCGGAGAAGTGGAAGGAACGAAGGGAATGCCTGGACATGTTGAAGCGCGAGCTAGAGAGAGTCCGCGAAGGCAAGGATATGTCCGACTGGGATAGCCTGCTGGACGAGGAGCTGAAGAAACACGCGGAGGAATTTGACTCTGAGAAAACTGCCGAGGAGGAGGACGAGGAGAAGGAGGAAGAGAAGCAGCAGCAGAATAATTCTAAAAACAAAATCAACAAAGAGAACAGCAAGAGCGAGAATGAGGGCAAAAGGATGTTCGAAGTGGATGCCGAGCTGAAGAAGAAGAAGTAACATTCGTCAAGTGCCTTAAAAGTGCCTTAATGAGACTCTTACGAAAGTTTTTGTTGAACCACTTTATGATCGTTTGCATCGATACACACAGAGGGATACACGCGCAAACGAAAAGCTGTACTGAAAGTTCATGATTGATGATTAAACAATCGGGAGCGGAAAATTGCTCGATCTGATTATCTGAATCCTTCGATGAGAATGCGTGTACACATTTCTATTCTTTGATTAATAATCTAACTCACAATTTAGTGTATTTATTACTATAGAGAGAAAGATAGAGTTTCTGTGTGCCTATATATATATATATATATATATATAGATTATAAAGTTTTATTATGAATTTTAATTGAATGTCTCACACGAACGACATGTATTTGCGACAATTCTGAGAATTATGTACGATCAATGTAAGGATCTTTCGTAGTGACGACCGCACATTGCGGATCAAAGAGGGGAATAAAGTTTTATTTAAGCGCACATGTAAACACGATGTTCTCGAGAAAAGGCAGGAAAATTAACCGAAAATTACAAAAATATATATATTCCAATAAATATCTTCTTTGCAACAATATTCTCCTCTTTCGCGTCAATTAAGCGTAAAATAACCTACAGTATGAATTATTAAGTTACAGCGATACCTCGAACGCCTGCGCGCGTCGATTCGAGAGTCTCGAACTCGCGCTGCTTCGATAATCGCAATCGCGGCCATTACTCGTTCATTTTGCCAGCGAGGCGCGGTAGCACCGGTTCGAGAAGAGCGGTTCCGTTTCCGTCGAAATGACTCGCACGCGCGGATCATCGTCACCGGGAGTACTGGAAGTAAGTCTCACACCTTCGTTACAACGATACGTCGCTAAACGATATCGCTAAAAACGAGCATCTCGCGAATCGAGTCGTCGGGAAGCGAGCAAAGTGTGCGTCTACCGTAACCATGTCCGAGAGTTCAAATCGCCGCGAAACGCGTTCTCGACCTACCGGCTCATAAATTAACGCTGAGAATACCGTAAATAAGCGCATTGCAGCAACAAAATGCATCGAAATCCCCGCCGAAAGCGAAAATCCGGCGGAACGAGCCAGCAGTCGGGCAAGATTCCGCGTGTAGCAATGGCGAGAATCCGAGTATCTCAACCGCCGCGACGACGTCGAATCGGAATCGGAGAGCCGATCGAAATATCGGCCTAAATCGCAGTCATTACGTGCTTTTCGTTCATTGCGTCAATTATTGTTGGTTAACTCGCGAGATTCAGGTCTACGGTTTACAGACATTGTCGGGAAAAACCGTTAGAATTCATTCTCGGTTAGGCTGCTATGTAATGCTCGCGCGCACCGGCGGATGGCGCCAGCGGCGCAGTACGGCGGGCGCGACAGACAGATAATAGTGGCGGTCGGCGTAGAGAGGGCGCCAGATGTATTCGCGCGGCCATACGAGTAGGTTGCGTCGCGAGGCGTCGCGATGCTCGCGCGACAAGCAGCAAGTGACGGCGGACTAGCATCGGCTCTGTTGACGCGGGGTGATAACGCGCGCATCCCCGAGGGTGGCCGACGCTCTCGTGGTCGGTGTTTCTTCCGTGCGAATCGCGAGAGTGCCGGACCGGCGGGCTTGGGCCGCGTTGTCGTCGATCTACGCGCGCACGCCGACGCATCGGCGATGTCGACCGGTCGTCAACCGCGGCGGTGCGTCGCGTCCTCGTGAGTGTCGTGCACGTCCATGTACAAGCTCGTCACGAACCCGCGGAGAACCGGCGACGGCGACGACGACGACGGCGACGACAACGACAACGACGGGAGCCATGCCGTGGCGTACGAGCAGCCAGCAGAAGAGGCGAATGTTGTTGACAACGATAGCGACGACTCCGCATTATCCTGCAAGCTAGGAGGACACATTGCTGCCGCCAAGTAAGTAAGTGCCGATTCTTTTTGCCCCCATAAAGAGCGGGTGACAGGGTTAGACTTTGTTTTGCTTCTCAAGTCGCGAGTGTCGATTCACGGACGTTGTTGTTTACCAGCCGATTCTGTGTTGTGACTTCTCTCTCTCTCTCTCTCTCTCTCTCTCTCTCTCTCTCTCCTCTCTCTCTCTCTCTCTCTCTCTCTCTCTCTCTCTCTCTCTCTCTCTCTCTCTCGCTCGCTCGCTTTTTATTTATCTGTCTGCCTTTGTCTCTGCGAAAGCCTTTCTTTCTCGTCGAGGCTCTATTTTAGTGCAGCTACTATTAACGACGGCTTCTATTAATAACGTCGTATTCGCGACATATGACAACTCCCGTGAATCGACATGCGCACTGGGGAAAGGGGTTAATTTTACCTCGACCTCGAGACGAGGGCTGATTACGGAAGCATCTCGCGCCAGGCACTATTGTGCGTACATCGAAACACGCATTGTTACCTCGCGCCGTTTGCACGCATACGCTGCGTGCGTGTGTTTATGCGTTTTTTATGCATTTCGGGAATGACATGCGAGGAATCTGAAGTAGGCTGGTGCGCGCGCGCGCGCATCGTTTTACTCGCGCCTGTACCGCTTTTCTCCACCATGAATTCCCGCATTTAAGGTTACTACGAGAATACAAATTATCATGGATACACATTTGCGATGAATAAACACGCGGCAGCTCGTAAAGGGAGCTAATCGGAAACGTTTGGCCAATCAGGCATTGAAAAACACGCATTTGTCTCTGTCATTTCTCAATATTGTATGAATCACGTACATCAGATGTTACTTTGACGTTTCAACTGAAGTTGCTTTCATGGCAATTGGCAGGCCAGCCTTAATACGCGATGCAACTATTTATGAGAGGTATGATGCATAAATTATTGATATTTATTGATCGCTCAAAGTATGCATGATTATAAAATATGAGCCGAATGGATCGTGCTTTAACAGTCGTGTTGATGATAATAATAATAAATAAGTAAATGTATAACGCACACGTGTGAGAAGTTCGATTTAATCGATCTCATCGATTCTATCTCCCCGATGTAACGCGTACGTGCATGTTTGCGAAACGCTTGGCTGGGGGGAGGGATTTACACACACACACACACACACATACACACACGCACACGTATGTGTACATAATTGTTCAAAGAGGTACTTAAATCCCGATCATGGCTGCGCGACACTGACAAGTAAACCTCGGAGAACGTCAATTTGTTTCCAATTTTTTATAGTTATTTTTAATGTCAAAATATAAAGAAATCTGTTATCATTTTTAGCTTAAATTATTTTCTCAATTTTTTCGAAATTTCTGAAGTTTTTTGTTCATTTCTTGTTCATTTTTTACCAGATTTTGACGTTAAAATCAGCTTGTTTGCTAGATAATGAGCCGAAAGATTACCCAACGTCGAATGTAGCGTAAAATTGAACACTTTTTGACATTAGCCGTATTAGATCCGCCATTTTGAATTTTACAAAATGGTTCTGATTCATAATCGGCGACATGCGTGTGTAAGTTTCAACAGTTTCAACAAATCAGATATATATATTTTTAAGAAATATCGTTTTAAATATGTATAAAATAGTGTACTTGTGCAAAACTTGAAAAATTTCGAAAAAATTGGAAAAATTAATTTAAGCTAAAAATGATAACAGATTTCTTCATATTTTGACATAAAAAATAACTAAAAAAGTTGAAAACAGATCAGCGTCTGACGTTCCCCGAGGTTTATTTGTGAGAGCCAAAGAGTTAAATAATAATGAGCGAAATCAATCTTTGCCGCGATATAGCGGTACTCGCTCGCGACCCTTTCGCCTTGCACATGCATGTAGAAAGCGTGAGCGATCGATGGCGGTTTGCGTGCTCGTCGACGCGTTCTTGACGCAAAATCACGAGTTAGGGTCGATTAACAAAACGTCGTCGTGTGTGAAGGTCAAGGATTCTCGCGTGACCGCGAGCGTGTTCCGCCGTCGAAGAAAAAGACGCGAGACTTATCTCGTGCGCGCTCGTCTCGACTCGCGCGATTCGGATCATTTCCAGCACGATTAAATTACGCTCGTGCAAGGTCTCGTCTCGGCTTGAATATTGGAGTTATACTTCAGAATTCGGAATATCGCAATTCGGAGTGAGAATTTTCAAATCGAAATTGGAAAAGCGTGGCGGAGAGCGTGACGTGAGAAGCTCGTGGTGTTTATGTTCTTTTTTTCTACATGATATGTTTGGCCGAGCTATTTTGGTAACACGTTATCTAGCAAAAAGCGTTTCGTGTCTAGTAAACACAAGGTACGCGAAGAGCCTACCTTCATTTCGGAAAAACATTTCCGCCCAAGGGCGAGTAACAGTCGGTCGAACACTTTTTGCTTTGCTCGAACATTTTTTCGTCAATTTCTAGATTGGTAGCTCTTGATTTCATCAAATGAACGCTCTAATCGCGGAATTAATATTTTTGTATATCCAAAAGAGTTAGATTTATTATTACTCGCGCAATTCACCTCGGTATACACGCGATTTGCTCGGACTGTATTCACGCCGAGGAGTCTGCATGTGTCATTCACACACGATTCATAGTATCTATCGATTTTCCGTACATAAAGCCAGTCGGCTGACGTATTTCTGATTGAAATATCATTCTCAACAGAGGTTAATGAATAGTCACGACGAGGAAATCGCGATTCCATCCGTGTATCGTGTTTCGCGCTTATCGTTTACATCGGAAGTCACGTGTCGTCACGGTCCCTTAAAATTATCGAATCTGTCAATCTTCCCTCATAGAAAATGTCGTGGGAGGGATGGCGAGAGAGAAAAAGAGAGAGGGAGATGATGAGGAGTGCTTATAATTTTGCAACGTTTAATATTTCAGTAGCCTCAATAGAGCACCCCTTAAGTTCAAGCTTCCCCCCTTAATCTAAATCTCCGAGAAACGTAAAAGCTTTGGCTGTCACATTGTCGAGTTTAACATCGGGTAAACAGTCGTCACGATTGGCGCGCCGCCACGAATATTTTTCTAACTAGAAATCAAGTCCGGACGTTATATTGTAGGACGGACATAAATAAAGCGAATGAGCGTATTATTTTTTTCTTATACGCATACACACGCGCACAATGAAATGTCGCCCGCAATTGCCGGTCGACCACACATGTGTGAAGTTGGCCCCGCATTTTCCGAATTCTGTATTTTTTCGAATTGTGCTGCATTGTGCTACGTTTGTGCCGTATTGTGCCGCAATCCGCAACTCTGTAACTCAGAGCATACTCAAGAAAATTAAGAAAATCTAAATTTTTGGTAGCCCCGCACTTTTCGAATTTTGAGTTTCTCTTGATTGTGCCGTATTGTGCTACGTTCGTGCCGTATTGTGCGGCAATCCGCAACTCTGTAATTCAAAGCATTCTCAAGAAAATTAAGAAAAACTAAATTTTTGGTAGCCCCGCATTTTATGAATTTTGAGTTTTTCTTGATTGTGCCGTATTGAGCTACGTTTGTGCCATATTGTGCCGCAATCCGCAACTCTGTAACTCATTCTCAAGAAAATTAAGAAAAACTAAATTTTTGGTAGCCCCGCACTTTTCGAATGTTGAGTTTTTCTTGATTATGCCCTATTGAGCTACGTTTGTGCCGTCTTGTGCTGCAATTTCCTCCT